CGGGTCCTTTTGGTTGGCTCTTGGTGTTTTCTGGAGGCCTTCTTGGGGCCTCCACGTCGGCCCAAAGGGATTCGAAATATTTGGCTTCGTTGGGTTCTTGGGGGGAATCTTGGGGTTCGGGGGGGCGTCTGGGAGGCATTGTGGGTTGTCCCGAAGACACGTGGGTTCCTAACGCCCCAGAGCGGGAAAGGCGTGAAAACACATGGTTCCTAACGTCCAAGAGCGGGACATGCGTGGAAACGCGTGGGTTCCTAACGCCCCAGCGCGGGGCAGCCGTGAAAACACATGGGTTCCTAACGCCCGAGAGCGGGACATGCGTGAACACACGTGGGTTCCAAACTCCTCGGGTGCTTAGGTGCTCCGCGTGCCCGAAGGATGCGGACCGGAGCAGCCCAGAGTTCGAGGACGCAGGGCATCTGACGTCAGACCAGATCAAGAAATACCACCACACGGGCATCCACCATAGGCCAGTAGCGTGCCGGGCGTGCCACGATGCGCGCAGGGTGGCGAATAAGTTTGAATGCTCTGCGCGTCCCCGGCCCCCGAAAAAAGGACGGGTCGAAGCCCGCGTTCACAGGCGGGGGCCATCTGTCGAAGGACCAGAAGAGTATTATTTCAAGTGGGGCAACCCGGTGTTTTGTGCGAAGTGCTATAAGGCGGGACGGGCGCTGCGGAGAGAACCGCCGAAACGCCCTCCGGAGACAAGCGACGAGCACGGCGGCAAGCAACGGAAGTTGTGAGGAGTCTGACCGCTGGGCCCGGGTTGTGAGTATGAGGCTTGTGCGGCGTTCGCTTGGATCACCTTGGGGAAACTTCTCGCAGGCCATTTGACGGTAGTCTCGAAGCCTCCTGAGGGCCGTTTTGGGGACGCTTGGGGCCTCTTGAGGGCCTATTGGGGGCTTTTTGGGGGCGTCTTGGGAGCCTCTGGAGCCCTTTCGGGCGCCTCTGCGGGTGTCTTGGAGCCGTCTGGGAGCGGAAGGCTCGGATTTTCGGTGCGGGCTACCCCGCTTGGGCCTCTCTGGGAGCCGTCTTCGGGCCCTTTCCGGCCGTTTCGGGAGCCTCTTGGGTCGTCTCGGCGCCCGCTTGGGCCGTCTCGGGCGCTTCTTGGCAGCCTCTTCGGACGTATTGGGGTGGTCTTGGGTGCCTCTTGGACTGGCTTCACCGCCGTGAAGGCCGGCAAGTCGTGCATGTCAAAAATGCACGGTTTCCCATCGGGAAATTAATTATTTTGGCTTCTTCAAGGCCTTTTTGGGGTGCCTCTTCGAGGCCTCTTGGAGCATTTTGGAGGCATCGTGGGCCGTCTTGAGCCCATATTGGGGCAGCTTGGGGGCACCAAAATCCACGTGGAGGTCATTCTGGGCCGTCGAGTGGCGTCCTCGGATCATTTCGAGGCCAGGGAGGAGTCCCGGCAGGATTTTCTGGAGCGGATGACCCCCCCGGGGGATCCGGCCGGACCCCCCCCCCTTCCAAATCGACCGGGCCAGGCTCCCGGGGGAGGGGTTGGGGGGGGGGCATGAACCCCGAGGGGTCGGCGGATTCCACGACTTGTTCATCCGATTGGTTTCTTGACATCCTCCTCGTCTAGCTCGCCAAACCATTAGAACATAGTCGATCTAGAGCATGCTTAGAGTCCGAGCGCAGTAGGGTCCGAACGCCGGGTCCGAGTAAAGTAGAGGAAGGGAACACGTGGAGTAGCGCATCCTCGTCATGGCCCTCACCGCCGCTGGTCATTCAGTCATGGCCCTCCTTGTCCTCCTGGTCCTCTGTGCAGTCCGCGCTGGTCCGTATTACACGCTCGAGTATTGTACACTGAAACAGTTGCCCGTCATGCCATTTCTATTTCGCGCCGTCTGCGCGCGGAGGCGGGCCCAGCGGAACACGGCCGGCCCCGCAGTTCCCAGGCGTTGGCCGTCAGAGGGCGGCCGAAGGTTCATTCGGCGATCCCGCTTGACATCGCCCCCCCGTCCTCGGCGGAGGGCCGGCGAAAGTACAAGGTCGGCGGGTCCGCCAGCGGAAGACGGCGGACGGTGGAAGGCAAGACGAGATGGCAAAATCTGAGGTTCAGGGTTTCTGGAGTTGCCTGCATCCTCACCCTAACTGTTTGCTCGTTGAAGTGTTCCCTGGTTGCCCGAGTGCTCGATAACGGCCCCCAACGGCTCGAGTGAAGGGAACATGCCGGGATCGAAACCGTGAGTCCACCCGAAATCTCGTCCCCGAGACCCCCGACGTCGCGTTTCTGTTCGCGGTGTGCACCCCAGTGGCCTCGACCCCTCCCCCAGGACCAGCTTCTCATCCATCGCAGTCTGGGTGACTGTACGGAGGCCGCGCAGGGGCCCCCGCAAGAGGCCGCACATCGCAAAAGCGCAATCCGTTCAGGTATTGTTTCCCGACGCGAGGGGGTCGGAGGCTCCCCATCGAAGGGAGGAGGCGCGGCACAAATTACCACCAGCGGGCCTCATCCGAGCAGGTCCACGATGCCTCCCCGAGCTGGCGGCCGGAGATGTCTCGAGCGGGACGCCGCAGGCGACGCAGAGGGCACCACAACACCAGGAGAATCCACCTTCATCTTTCCTCCACGCCGCACCGCACAGCCTCCTCCTCCACCCCTCCCCAAGTCCTGGAGCGCTAGCGGGAACCCTTGGCCGTCGTGCTGGGATCTCCCGGGGGTGTTGGTCGTGCGACTTTCATTGCTCATGCTGGATCTCCGAGTCCTTCGAGGCCGCCAGGCCCCCGGCAGATTCACTGGAAGCCATTTCTTTATTGCTTGGGGCATGACGGGCGTCATGGCCCCCGCTCCCCCCCCCCTATGACGTAACGCTCCCCCCCCAGTGCGCTCCGGGCACTGCCGCCGTGCGCATTGGGATCCGCGTAGGTGTCCGCGAGGGAATCCGCATAGGTGTCTGGTCCGCAGGCGTCGTCGTCGTCGTCGTCGTCGTTCGTCGTCGTCGCTCGTGGTTCGTCGCTCGTCGCTCATCGTCGTCGTGCGCGCGGACGCGGCTGGAGCCTATTTTTATGTCCGCGCCGGTGACGGCAATCATCTGGGGGGGGGAATGAGGTCGATGACGTCATGTTTGCGCCGGCGGCGTTTGGGAATGGTTAGGAATGACGGAGGACGGGTAGCACGAACATGTAAGTGGCAATATGCACCACAACGCCTGTGTACATCACAGTGCCCGCGTGCACCACAACGCCTGTGTACACCACACCGCCGATGTACACCACAGCAGCCGCGTGCAACACAGCGTCAGCTTGTGCCACCGTGCCTGCGGGCACAGCAGCTCCTGTGTACACCACAGCGCCTCCGTACACCACATCAGCCGTGCGCAACACAGCACAAGTGTACACCACAATGCTTGCGTGCATTGCAGTGCCAGTGTACCCCACGGCGCCTGTGTGCACCACATCAGCCGTGTGCAACACAGCACCATTGTTGTGTATAGAATTTCAGAAATAATCCTTGTGACAAAATGGAGCGCGCGTGGATTCCAGAGAAAACAATGTAAAACAAATCTCAATGGACAAAGGAGCGCCGCTGGAATCTACGAATCCCCCCGAGTCCGCCCGCATCACCCTAACTCCCATTTGCGTCCAGGAGGCTCCAGCTAAACTGGCCGTCCGAGAACCGAGTGGACCGATTCAATCGACCATTCTGCGGTGCACGCTGAGATGCGCACGTGCGTTGTAACGCCAAGCCGCACGACAGGGGGTAAGACCGAGGAAAAGAAGGACGAGGAGGACGAGGAGGAGGTGGAGGAGGCGGGAAAGGGGAAAAACGTCGCATTCGATTATCAGAACTTTCCTGGTGTAGCGTCTAGTTGTCCGCATCATATCCTGACGTACATGCTCCTTCTACCTGTCCTATGCACGCAGGCACTGTGGTGTACACCAGCGTTGCGTTGCACGCGGATGCTGAGGTGTAGACAGGCGCTGTGGCGTCCACGGGCGCTGCGGTGCACGCAAGCACTGTGGTGTACACGCGCGTTGTGTTGCACATGGCTGCTGCGGTGTATCTACACTGGCGATGTAGTGCTCCCAAGTATTGTGGTATCAACGGGCGGTGCGTTGCACACGGCTGTTGTGGTGTACGCAGGCGCTGAGGTGCACACGCGCGGCGTGGTGCACGCGAGCGTTGTGGTGCACACAGGCGCAATGGGCAGATCGCCACTTCCATGCTGCTCGCGTCGTCGTCGTCGCTCGTCGCTCGTCGCGTCGTGCGCGCGGGCGCGGCTGTGGCGCCGGAGCCACACGGCGGGGAGGGGCATCACGTCATACCCCCCCCTGCCCTCCCCCCCCCATGACGCCCGTCATAGCCGAACATAAAGAAACGCCTTCCTGCCGCTGAGCATGCTCGGTTCCCTTGCCGCATGCCTCGCTGCGGGAGTGCCCGCGCCGCCGCCCGCGATTGCCCTGTCGAGCGCGGGCCGGTCGGGCATTGGCAGAGATGCCCCGGCGCAGGCCGCCCTCGGCTTCCCTCTGGCTTACGTGGAAGCCTCCTCGGGTGCCCTCCTTTTTGCAGGCCCCACGGCGGTGGCGGCGCCCATTTCCGGCGTCGTGCATTTTCCAGCGCGGGGTCCCTCGAGGTCCTGGGCCCCCCCACCAGAGCGGGCTTGCTGTTTGGCAAGGCGCTGACGCTCTGGATTCTACCGGCTCCGTCGCGCCCCCCTCTCGTCGCCCCTCCCCCCGCTTCTTCGCTTCTTCTTGGCCTCTCAAGGGCGGCCTCGCCGGGGCAACCTTGCGCGCGAGCGCGCGCGAAGTCGCCCAGGCCCGGCGAGGTCCCCCGAAGGTTGAAGATGTGGACGACTCTTCCGTCGTGATTCTCTCGTGGCCCGGGAGGGCCTAGAAACCGCACCTTTGGCAAGCGACACCTCTCGGATCCGCCGGCGCGCAGGCCGCGCAGATGCCCGAGGGGGGCGCTCCGGGCACGCAGCAAGGCCGACGCCTCGGCGCCAGCTGCGCTCGGCACCTGGGGCGGGGTCCCGCCGCGCGAGCGGGCCCCCCAGGCCTGGGCGCGGTGGAGGAGGAGCTGGAGTCGGAGGAGCGGCCGCCCCCGTGGGCGTTGCGTTCGGCAGCAGATCCTGGGAGCCCCGTGTGCCCCCTCCATTCCGTCTTTGGCGTCGATTCGCGTTGATTGGCGTCTGGGGGTCGTTGAGATAGCGCGTCGATTTGGAGTCAGTTAGCGTCGAGGTAGCGCGTCGCTCAGCGTCAGTCTAGCGTCGATTCGCGTCTCTCCGCAAGAGCCGACATGATGGTGTGGGCGGCCCCCCATGGGCTGCCATTGGACGCTGCGAAAGCAGGGGGGGCGATGAAGCGACACAGCGCGCAGGCCCTCCCAGCAGCTCGCAGCAACAGGCCCCGATCTGCTGCACTCCCGGCCCGCAGCAATCGGGCGCTGCCTACTGGGGGCGGCAATCGGGGGGGAGAAGCGTGCACAGCTCGAGCCCCTTTTTGGCCTCGGGGAGCTCCCTTGCCGCTGCGTAAAGTGGTGGTGGTGGGGAGGCGATCAGTGGGACGGGGAGGACCCAGACATGCCCGCGTCGTGCAGAAATCTGGAGAGGAGGGTTTGGGCAATTTTTGGCCCCTGGGGATCCTCGCGAGGCCTCGGGACCGCCAAAGAAGATTCAGAATGAGAAGCCGGCCCTGGGGGGAGAGCCGGGACTTCCAGGGACCACGCGTTGAACTACATTCAAGAATCTTCCGAGGAATGACAAGTCGCGACGGGAGTTTCTCGCTATTTTCGGACGATGGGGCCCTCGCAGGGCCTCGGGTTCGCCAAACGAATATTCAGGATGAATGGCAGTTTCCAAGAAATGGGTCGAGACCTGCGGGGTCGACGTTATGAGGACATCGTGAAGGCGGGGGTCTGGGAACGGGTGGTGAGAAACGTTCAACTTCCGAGCCCCTTTGAGCTCCAGGGGGGCCCTTCAGGGCCCCCTTGGGGCACACAAGGTGCACCCCCACAGCCCTCCTCAATTTACCGCTCTCCACTACGCAACGCCCAAGCCCCCGACCCCCGATATCCGTTGATCCAGGATCGAGATGCCAGCTCTTTGTATCGGTGCGGAAAGAATGGCACGAAGACGGACAGCATGTCCTGGTCATTGGAGCAAGACTCGCTGTCGGTGTCGCCAAGGGCGTTGTCCGTTTGAGACAGGCAGCCGCCTGCCCAACAGCGGCCTCTGTCGGTCACTTCTAACAATTATTTGTTGTTTGGCATCGTACCCCGTCTATTCCGTAAGTACTTGTACCGGTTGTTTAAATTGTGCACGCTGGTCGTTGAAAGGAGGTATTTCTGGATTCCTGGATCCAAAGCTACTTCAAGCGCTTCCCTACTTCAAGAACCGATATGCGTTTGCTGTGTTCTGTTGCTCTCTGAGAGGGCCTACTCTATCCGCCTTCCGACTTCATGTTTCCACCTACTTCTTCCGACCGATGTGTACGTTTTTCCGCCCGCATCCCCAGGCATCGATTGGGGCCTCCAGGGCCCTTTTTCGGGCTCTGGGATCATCCCACATGGATCGATCCAGGGCGAAACATTGCTGCACCAGGGAAGGAGCCGTGACCTGCTGGGGTTGGGCATGGAAGGAATCATGTCGTCGGCTGCTTGGGCTTGGACCTCGGGGGCCATTTCGATCCGACCAATCCGATTCGATGTCGATTCCTGCCGGCCCGGTCCAATTCGTCTCTGGTGTGCTGATGATCCGATGCGGCCCGAGGACTGCATGCCGCTGCTGCGATTCCTGGCGCAGCCGATATGACCTCCGCCACAGGCAGATGGGGGTACTGGGGAGGGGCACCCCTGCTTCTCGGAAGTCGCGGGCCTTGTTTGTAGATGTAGGGCCAGCGCCCTCCAAGAAGCAGCCTCCTTCTAAGAAGCCTTCCCCCCTCCCGCGGCCCCAGTCTTTGCGTCGCTGCGCTCGTTCGTCCTTTGTCGTGGTCGTCGTCGTCGTCCTCGCCGTCGTCTTTGACCGTTGCCGTCGTCGCCGTCGTCTGTGGCCGCCTGTTTTCCCCTCTACCTGGACCTCGCGCGCTCTCCGGGTTCGCGCGTGACCAGCCGAGAGTCCGAGCATCCTCCCCCTGAGCGACGTCCAGAGCAGCCGACCGGACCCAGGCCTCCCACGTCTTGCGCGAGTCGTGGCGGAGGCGCGTCCCGATTCGGCGGCAGCCCCTGGGCCCCGACGAGGGGCCGCTGGGGCCCTCCGCCCAGTAGCTGAGTTATCTGATTGTCATGAACGACCAGATAACAGTGCTGACATATAGTTAAAGGTATACAGATACCTCGTGCGCCCTTGTTCAAGAGTAACCAAACATAGTTGTAGTCAGTCCAAGGTTTATGAGTACAGTTATGGCTACTGCGTTCGTTGCTTAACTAAAACAAGTCAAAGCCTTCCAGATGGGATCCGCGTAGATGGGGTCGGAGGATCGCGCCGAATCGCCGATGCATCGGCGATGCGGCTGGATGCGGAGCCCGGTTTTCAAATCTCTACGCGGACGTTGCCGATGCACCGCCGACGTTGCCAATGCATCGCCGATGCCTCGACGATGCGGCGTAATCCTTCGACCTCATCTACTCGGGCCCCTTCTAGGAGGCCTCTAGATAGTGAGCGATAGCTGAGGAAAAGTAGAGCTGCTGAAGGATAGCCATGCCACACTTCAAGATCTTCAACCAGATCTACAAGTCATTACGATTAATAATTTACATGTGCGTATGTGCAGTGCTTCGTTGCCCTCATCCTGCAGCATGTTCGGGGCATCGTGTTCTACCCTTTCGTGCTCCACGCTTTTTTTTGGTCCGCGGGCTGGCGATGCCGCCGCCGATGATCATCGCGATGGCCCGACTGGCCTGCCAGATTCCGCGCGGCGGGGCGGACCGTGCCACGAACGAAGACGCGTGGCGGCTGTCTGAGAGCCTGACGTCTGCTGTTCTCGGCGCCAGGGTGAAAGCAGAGACAGCACGGCAGAGAGCAGCACGCCACAGATCAGCACGAACAAAAGGGGCAGCGCGACACGGCGCAGCACGCCACAGTTGAGCACGACCCCAAGGAGCACCACGACAAAGAGCAACTCGATAACAAGGAACAGCACTGGAAGGAGCAGCGCAACACGCAGCAGGACGAAGGAGCTGCACGACAAAGAGCAGCCTTACGTTGGCTACAGACCCCCTTTTTTCGTCATGCCGCCGATTTGCGTCCACATGCCGCCTCCAGGGCACAAGACCTTCGACCAGGTCGATGCGAGGAGCACGCACCGCAAAATCTGGGCACCGCAGAACCTGGAGGCGCCACACGCGCAGCGGCTTGGCGCCGAGAAGGCCGAAGGGATACAGGCCGTGCACTTGCGCAACAGGTTCGAGACGTAGAACCACAGCGTGTTACTCAAGACGGTGCCCACCAGGCGGCGGCATCGTCATCGGCATAGTCACCATCGGCTGTGACAACGCCTACCCATCGGCGGGGACAGCGCCTGCGCCTACGGCAGCGGTTACCCGTTTGTCGGTGACAGCGCAAACACCTTCGGCAGCGACGACACCATCGGCGGCGACAGCGCCAACTCCTACGGCAACGCCGCCGCCTACGGCAGCGCCAACACCTCCGCCAAGCCCTAGCTTCACGTTGCCAGATGACCACCCTGGCCCGCGAGTGCCCGAGCCACGCGGAGTTTTCAGCTGGAAGCTCCTACGAGCTTCCGAGCCCCACTGAGCTCCCACTTTCGGACCTGGAGTAGCCATTCATCCAAGAGTGCTCCCGCATCTGAGTCGGCGTCGGCTCCGCTGGATCTCAGCCCGGCGTTGGTCTTCCACGGGCGCGGAGTGCAATGGTCATAGTCGTGGTCGTCGCCATCGTCACCTGTCCCCCTCTCTGCCGTGTTTTTTTTTCTGGGGTCCGCAAGAATTATTAGAATGGCGCTTTCCCGCGTGAGGGCGGGCGTCGCGCGATGGCAGCGGCCGCGTCGACGGTTTGCCGCAAGCGCCCTCGGGAGTCGAGGTTCGCCGGCCAGAGCCCGCCAGTAAAATGAGGCGCGGTCGCCAATTCACGGACCGTCGGCTGCGCGTGGGACAGCCCTGGGCACATGGGCGCCGGTCGCGTGCCTGCGGCGAATCGAGTATGGCGCCGCGCCCGCCGCGCCTGAGGCGCTTGTCTTGTCCCGCGGAACGATTCTTGTTGCACTGCTACCTGACTGCGGGACGTCTGAATGAATTCCACTCCTACATGCCCACCCCATTTCCCTATGTCCGCCCTCCCCCCTCCCTCGTCTTCCTGCTTCTCCTCCTCCTTCGCCTCCTTCTCCTTTCCTCCTTCTTCTCGGTGACGTTCCCCTTTCCCCAGGGCTTAGTGACCTGGTGAGGGCTCCTTGATGCCCACATTTTTCAAAAGCGTGCCGTTCGATTTTCTTCGCCTCGCGATGGGGTCCTCTGGGTTCCGCCCCGCGATCCGCGGGAGGACGCTGTGGGCCACTCCGCGGGCGCTGCCGGCATCGGCTGCCGCACGGCCACCTTCGACCCCATGGAGCACGACGCGGACGACGCCGCAGAGCGCCCCGCGTGGGAGCCGCCGGAAGGACGCCCCTGCGGCCCCCGAGGAGGTGCGAGGTTCGAGGGCCGAGGCGTCTTGGCGTCTGCTGGGCCTCCGGGGAGGCGGCTCGCCGCCACGAGCGGGTGGCCCTCGGAGCCTGGCCGGAGTGCGCCCCTGGCGTGGTCCGGGGGTCGTTATCGCGGGATCGGCCATGGAGGAGAGGGGTCCTGAGGGGAACGAGGAAGGAAGTGAGCGTAAAACTCGGAGGTCCGCGAGGATTTCTCGGATCGGCGCTGGGGGCCCCTGGCGGCGCCTCTGGCGCCGCCCTTGGCGCGCTCCGGCGCGCCAGGGAGGGGCTGTCCAGCGCGGATCCGAGAAATCCGCGCGGGCCTCCGAGTTCGTATGCCTGCGTCATTCTTTGCTCCCCGAGTCCTGGAGGTTCCCCGCAGCGTTCGGCGTCCTCGGGCCCCTTGCTGGGCCCCGTGTTCGGCCGCCTCGGGGCCGAAGCGGCTCTTCGTGAGACGCTGCCCGTGGGCGGGCGCCTTGGGGCCCATGGCCCGTCGTGTCGAAGTACACGATGTGGTGTTCAGGGGTTCCAGTGGGCGTGTCAGTGGCTCGCCCTCTCCTCCCCTCCTGCTCTTCCTTTCCTTCTCCTCCTCCTCCTGTTCCTCTTTCCCTTCCCTCCTTCATATTCATGTAGAGGGCTTGTGTCGATTCGACTTCGATGGATTCCGATTCGATTTCGATTCCGATTTGGGCTCCGATTTCTTATTGGACGCATGCTAGCCTGCCGACCGCCGATTCGACTTTTCCCGACTGGGCTGCCGATCTCCGCCGATCTGACTTAATTATTTCGATCGCCGATCCGACTTATCGATTCGATTCCGGGCTCCCCTGCATGTACCCCGCTTGCCAGAGCCCTCGAGACAGCATGCTCAGGGGACGGGATAACGAAGGGGGAACAGCACCCCTCTACCGCGCCCAGGCCTCTGGCAACTCGTAAACCATAGCGCCGCATGCGGCTTGCCATTGTCGCCGTCGGGAGGGTAAACATCAAAACAGACTGAATCAAAAAAACTAGTCAAATGTCGAGTTCAAGCCCCTGACGACCTCTATTATTGCGCAGTTCGGGTCAAAGTCTCACGCAGACCATGGAGTGTGGGGATATATCCCTACGAGAGAGACCCCGACGCCCGACGCCGCGCTTTTAGTTCACAACCGGCCCCCCTTCGCATGACCAGAAAGGAGGAAATTCGTCGAAGAGGAAAGAAATAACTCGTTACACCACCTTGGCCCAAAGGGCTGGTGGGATTATTGAACTCCTGCGCGCACACACTTCCGCATCACCTCCACCACCATGCCATCATCGCTGCCACCGCCATCGTTGCAAGTGTCGTGTTCTTCATCTTCATCTTCTTCACCATCACCGTCGTCGGCGTCCCCACCGTCGCCATGAACATCGTCATCGTGTTCGTTGTTGTCGCCGCCGTCATGATCAGTGCCACCATCCTCACCAGCTGCATGAGAGGGGCCCTTGCGTCATTGGCCCAGCCAGTTGAGATTTTCCGGCAGGTGGCGGCATGTAGTCGGGGAGGTGTGCTCCAGCGTTGAGGTTGACCATTGCAAATTCCATTGATGAATTCTTCGTCCTAACATTCAGTCGGGCATTCCCGTATTAAAAAATACATAGTCGCGAACAGTCGGGGAACGAGTTTTGGACAATGTTTTGTTGCATTAGTTTTGATTGTTGTTGCCAGTGTTGTTTCTACATTCTGCCTGTAGGAGGACGTGCCCGACCGAATCCTACCCCCGCAAAGAGGCAGGGCGCAACCGCTCCCTGCTACGTATTGGCCGTTATCAAATTTGTCGTTGACACCAGCCCACCCCACGTAGCAAGACGTAACATACCAGCCAGTCCCAGTCCCAGTATCGAGCCCTTTTTGTTCGTCCTTGTCAATATGCGGTGCACGTGGCGTGAACCGAGCTAGTTTGGATTGGACAGAAGCCCGTTCCAAAGAGTACGATGCGGGGCACGTGTGCGCGCCGCCGCTGGCGCATGCCGACATCTTTCATCAGCCATGTGTCGCCCGCAATGGTTTCAAGCATCGTTGGTAAAATATGGAATCTCACTTGATGCTCAAGGGCAAGATGCCAGACTTCTGTGCGCGCGGATTTGGTGAACATCATCTTAAACCCATTGGGTGTAGCCGTTCGGTCAAATAGGGCTACGCGAACCACGCGCGCGCATGTCGAAAGCGTTCAACAACCATCGTGCGCGCCGCCGCGGCCGCACGTCGAAGCCTGTGCAACATATTTCCGGTGTCCGAAGCATGTCAGCAGGAAGGTTTTCAAGCGCATGCGAACACCTGCCCGCCTTCCAATACAAGTATGGCAAGGATTCAGACTTGCGCGGGCGCGCACATTCTCATCATCTTCATCATCACAGTCGTCACCATTACCCCCCAGGTCAACATTGGAATCGTCTTCAACACAATCACCGCCGCCGTCATCGTTTTTCACCGTCGATGTCGTCATCCTCGTCAAGTTTTTACGCGTTGGCATTGCCGCACCATCCTCATCAGCACCATAGTCATCATCACCCCCCGTGTCATCGCCGCCGCCGTTATCATCACCATCCTATTCATCACTATCACTACCGTCGTCGTGGGCATCGTCACCACCGTCGTCCCGAACATTACAATCGTAATCGTCGTTTTGCCCTACCCCTGTCGCCTTCTTCAACAAGGTGCGGGTGTGTGGGCGGATGGGATGTTTGCACAAACGTTGGAGGTGGTCATGCGCGGATGCTGTGAACATCCATTACGTACGTTCAATAGGTTGAGCCCCATATATCGCGCAGAATCATGTTTTTGGTCGCCGTGTACTGGAGTTGAACATGTGCCCGCTTCATATATGATCGCGGGCTCCGGGTCTTCGGCCCCCCCCCCCCAAGATGGGATGGGTCCCAGGGTCCTCGCGCCCCCCCCCCACCGATGGGATGGGGGGGGAGGAGGAGGAGGAGGAGGAGGAGGAGGAGGAGGAGGAGGAGGAGGAAGAGGAGGAGGAGGAGGAGGACGACGACGACGACGGCAATGACGACGACGACGACGACGGCGACGACGACGACAACGACGACGACGACGACACCGACGACGACGTCGACGGCACCACAAGCGGCGGCGGCGACGACGTCGAGCACCAGAGCTGTCAACATGACGCCAATCCCAGCCACACGCCGCACCCACACCGCATCCGCAGGGGGGGAGGAAGGGGGGGAGGAGGACCATGGCGTCACCCCGCACACACCCACAGCAACACACCATACCCACACCACACCCACAGGGGGGGGAGCCATCGGGCTCGGCAGATCATTTAATGCTCATCGAACTCGTCTCGGTCTCCGATCGGATCGCGGGCTTCGGGCTAGGCCGGGGCTCGGACGTGGCATCTGGGCTCCAGCTTCAACTTCAGACCACGCCACGCCCACGCCCACGGTGGGGGGGCGGGGCATCACGCGGGGGGGGGGGGGGGCCGATGGCATTAGCATTGGGGGAGGGGCCCAAACCCTCGACCATATATAAGCAGTTGGTTGCCTTGTCTACGCGTCCCTTTGCTGCTGACTCGTTCTGGACTGGCTGATGCTGCAGGTGCCCTTGATCCCACTTCTTGGTGTCGCCGTTCGTGTCGTCGTCGCCGTCATCGTAGTCCGCCTCCCCCACTCCCACCATCCCTCTGGGCGTCGGTGGTTTAGGGCGTTTCCTCTTCCACCCCTCCCTCTTCCCCTTCGGGGAGGGGTTTATCACTGTTCCCTGTTAATAAACACCCCCTCCCCCAGGCGACTGGGGGCCAACCCGAGTCCATGACAACACCCCCCCACCATCCATTGTAAAAAACAATACAAAACACACTCTGCCTCCAACTTCGGAACATGCGCAATCAACCCGATGCGGCCCCCCCCACCATCCCGTACACTTGGCGGCGGCGGCGGTTGCGGCGGCGGCGGGGGCGGCGGGGGCGGCGGCGGCGGCGGCGGCGGCTGCGGTGGCGGCGGCGGCGGCGGCGGCGGCGGGGGGGGCGGCGGCGGCGGCGGCGGCTGCGGCGGCGCGGCGCGGCGGTGGCGGCAGCGGCTGCGGCTGCGGCGGCGGTTTGGCAGCGGGGGGCGGCGGCGGCGGCGGCGGCGGCGGCGGCGGCGGCTGCGGCGGCTGCGGCGGCGGCTGCGGCGGCGGCGGCGGCGGCGGAGGCGGCGGCGGAGGCGGCGGATTGGCCCCCAGTAGCTGCCCATCCAAAGACGAGTGCTGAATACGCTGAGGCTCCGGCCAGACGGCCAGAAAACTCGGGTGCTACGTATGTGTTGGGAGGGCGGGTGGGAGTGAGCGAGACGGCTTGCGGGCGGGGAGGGGGTCTTGACCCCTCCACAATTATTCAATATGAATACTACTCTCCCTCTTCCCCTGATGACGGGATTGGAGTAGCCGACCCCCCCCCGCGTATTGTTTTTTGACACAGGTTTCCCCGGAGTTGGGATTTCGCTTGCATTTTTGTCCAAAATGCTGCTCTCGCTGAGGCTCCGGCCTCATTTTCGGGCCCCGTTCGTTCCGAATCGTGTTCCCGCTGCAGCGCTGGCCTCGTTTCCGCTGGCGCCTGGGCTGCACGCCCGAGCCGGCGCCCGTGCCGGCGCCCGGGCCGGCGGGTCCGGAGCCGGTTCCGGCCGCCCCCCGAAAATCGAGATCCGAGGCGGCGCCACAAAAAAAGGCCATGCTAATACACATTTTTCTCTTGAGAATGCTCAATTTCTGCTTCCGGCGCCCGGGAGGCCTCCTGGGCCGATTCCGACGCCCGGGCCGGCGCCCGAGCCGGCGCCCGGGCCGGACGCCCGAGCTGGCGCCCGGGCCGGCGCCCGGGCCGGGTCCGGAGCCGGTTCCGGCCGGCGCCGGAAAATCGAGTTCCGAGGCGGCGCCGAAAAAAGGCCATTCCAATACACATGTTTCTTGCGAAAATGCTGAATTTCTGTTTCTGGCGCCCGGGAAGCCTCCCGGGCCGATTCTGGCGTGCTTCCGCTCGTTCCGAATCGTGCTCCCGGTGCAGCGTTGGCCTCATTTCCGCGTTTCCGCTCGTTTCGACTCGTGTTCCCGCTGCAGCGCTGGCGTCATTTCCCGTGCCATGCCACGGCATGCAATGCAATGCTAGGTTGATACTACGCTTCGCGGTGCTCTTCTACGCCATGCCATTCCGTGCTCTACAAAGCATCGGGTACCCTTTCGGGATCATTGCCCTGCTCGACATCCGACTGTGCGAGTAGAGAGGGGATCTGCGCCATGGTAAGGGATGGGAGGCCTTACCCCCTCCCCGTGGACCTGGACGAGGGGGGGCGCGGGTAGTTAGAGCGTACAAAACGGCCTCGGCGAGGAAGCCAACATCATTGATTTTACTATGGTTTTGGCCCTATTTTGGCCTCGTGGAGGGGGGGGCGTAATTGAGGACCCCCCCTTCGTTGACCGATTCCCTCCAAGATGGCCCCAAGAAACGCCCAGGAGGCCCCAAGAGGTCCCAAGATGGCCCCAATATGGCCCCAAGAGGCCCCCAGGAGGCCCCCAAGAAGACCCCAAGCAGCCCCAAGAGGTCTCCCCCCCCCCCCCGAGGCACCCAAGACCCCGAAGAGCCCCCAAGGATCGCCAAGAGATCCCCAAAACGTCCGAAGAGGCCACCAAGAATCGCCCAAGAGATACCCCAAGAGGCTCCGAGGGGCATCCAAGAGACCTCTGGCCCTTGTGCCTGCCCTCCTCCTCCTCCTGTTCCTCCTTCCTGCTCCTACTCCTTCTCTTCCTCCTCCTCCTCCTCCTCCTCCTCCTCCTCCTCCTCCTCCTCCGCCTCCGCCTCCGCCTCCTTATCCTATTCATCCTCCTTCTTTTCACTCCCTCATCCATCCATCCATCCACCTCCTCCTTTTCCTCCTCACTCTTTTGCACGGTTCGGCTTTCCTCCTCTTTGCTGCCGCACTTCCCTGATCACCTCAACTCGCCTGGACGTCGTTTCCGGATGGGCTGGTGGGGATACGCGAAGCGTCTAGAATTCCCTTTTCTGCTACCGCTGACCCCCGCCTCCCGCCTCTCCTCCGCGCCGAGCCCGTGGGCAGGTGGCAGTAGGGGATGCGCGGATGCTTGCGTTCGAGGTTCTGCGAGCGCGCTTGAGCCCCCTTCCCCAAGGAGCGGGCGACCCTGTGTACCCGACGCAAGCGCAAAACGAGCTGGCGTACACCGGGATCCCGCCGATGTACCCTTTCGTGGTGCGCGCATTTGTTTTGCTAGTTGCTACAGCTTCAGACCTAATTCGACGCAGCAGCTATTCGAGTTTCCCACACGAGGCAAGGCCAAGTTCGTTGCGTTGGCGGCAGATCGGGTTGCATTGGGTTTTGGTTCCATGAGTGTGCGTGGGTCGCGTTGATTTGCGTAGCTGTATGCTTGGACTGCGCGCTGATGCACTGTGATGTGTGGGTGTACCCGCGCGTCCAGGAGTGCCTTTTGTGCACTCGTGTTCATGCAGTTTTGCAGTCTGCAAATTTGTGAATGCTGCGTGTGGCATGCGATGTGTGTAGTTCTTGAGAGACTACGACAACTAATCGTGGCACGATGTAGTTTAAGAGGCTAAACTCGTTTCGCCGATCTCTTAAAGAGGATGTGTGCAGCTTCCGAGTTCGTATGTGTTTTTGTCTGCCGTGCCCCTCGGCGGCGCGCCGAGGGGGATAGTGGGAGGGGGTGGGCCTTCGCCGGAGAGCGGCGGGGCTTCTCAGCATCCCTCTGGCCTTCTGAGGAGCTGTCCGTGGCTGTGGAGCGGGTGAGGAGGAGGAGGAGGAGGATGAAGAGGAGGAGGAGGAGGGTGAGGAGGAGGAGGAGGAGGAGGAGGAGGAGGAGGAGGAGGGATGAGGAGGGAGGAGGAGGGAGGAGAGGGAGGAGGAGGAGGAGGAGGAGGAGGAGGAGGAGAGGAGGAGGAGGAGGAGGAGGAGGAGGAGAAGGGAGTATGAGGAGGATGAGGAGGAGGAGGAGGCCTTCTGAAAAGGCCCACCCCTCTGCCTGCACCCTTGGGGCGCGCCGCGGATTCCCGTCGTGGTGCCCGTGTGCAGCTGCTGCTGACTTGTCCGCCTCGTCCTCCGCGTTTGCTGCGGGGCTCTCTGGGCCTTTGGACCCGTCTCGTGGGGGGGGGGGGGGGGGCCACTCGAGGCTCCTCGAGGGGGTTTCCGGGGCCCTCTGGGGGCTTCCCCCGGGGCCAGGAGGAGGTGTGAGAACGGAGAAGGGAGGGGGGAAAGGAGGAGGAGGAGGAGGAGGAGGAGGAGGAGGAGGAGGAGGTGGGAGGGAGGGAGGGACGAGGGATGAGGAGGAGTGCAAAGGAGCAGGAGGAAGAGGATGAGGAGGATGAGGAGGAGGGGAAGGAAGAAGAGGAGGGAGGAGGTAGGAGCCAGGGCCAGGAGGAAGGACAGAGGCGGCCTCGATTGATTATTTTCCTTGCACCCTTCTATCGGGACGGGAAGACGTGGGGGCTCTTGCGGGCATGCTGGGGGGTCCTGGGGGCCATCTTGTGGGAGGGGGGCTTCTGGGGCCCCTGCGCGTCTCTCTTCCCCAGGGCTCCCTCGGGGGCCTTTTTTGGCTGTCCCTGGAGGCCTGTGGGGCAGTCCGTGGGCCCTCTTTGGCCTCTTGGTGGCTTCTTAGGCCGTCGCTGGCTGCTCTAGGAGGGCCTCGCGGGTTGCCCAGGGCCTGCACAGCCCAGAACAGGAAAACGCCTGAAGCATTCGTATGTTCCACACCCTCCTTTTGGTTGGATCCTCCTTTTGCATGGAGCGCTGCCAGTCTCCATCCTTCTCCTTCTCCCATGCCTCCTCTTCCTCTCTTCCTTCCTCCCGCTTCCCTCTTGTGCTCCCTGTGCCCTGTGGGGCTGCCACCTGCGCATGCTATGGCCACTTTCGTGGGCTCCTTGGGGGCCCTATCTCAGCGTGGGCAGGTTTGGTTGACCCAAAATGGAGTCCAGCTGAAATGGAGTTGTGCAATAGTTTTGGAGCATGTGTATTGCACATGTATTGCGCCAGAGAGTTGGATTGCAGTCTATTGCAGCTAACGTAGTGCACGCGAGAACCCAGCAATACATGTTTTGCGCCGCGGCGTGTATTGCTGGTCCCAAATCTATTGCAATCCACAAATCTACCGTGGATGTAAATATGAACGCGAAACCAAGTCATCACGCTAGCATTCCGCCGTTCAAAGAAAATTAGTGCAGTTCGGACCACGACACCACGGGGCTCAAAAACATGCACTTGTAGTTCGCGTTTATGTTTTACATTTTCGGCAGCGGCCGCCGATTGTGCCCAGCCTGGATCCCGCGTACTTTGATTGTCGAAAATTCCAATGTTACGAGTCAGTTTCGCGTCAATTGTTTCCATCCACGGTATTGCACTTAACTTCTTGCACCACCCCAAGTCTACGGTGGAGACGTTTGTTAAGGAATAGTCTCAGGGGACGCCAGACCCTGGAGGATTCCTTATCCAAAGAGGGTGGCGGTGATATCCATGGCCGGTCCACGATTGGAGTTTCTCTTGCTTCCAGACCCTGGATTCCTTATCTAAGGGTTTCTTTTCCAAAGTCCACGCCGTATTGCAACCCACACATCTACTGCACTAGATCTATTGCACCACCCCCTCGTTGCTGGACCCCCTCCTCGGGTCCACCAGAGAGGGCCGCCGCCATCTCGACAGCCATCCGGGAAAACCACTGCGCAGACGCCAGCCCCCGGTGTGTGCAACGCCCGCGAGGTAATACGCCGCGTCTGTGCCAGGGCACCTCCGCCGTCCCTTGTCACATATACCCATCGGTCGTTGAGAATAGGTTTAAGTCGGGCCTGCCCCCCTGCAGGAGGAATAGCCAAAACACAACATATTCGGGGGACATGTTTTGATTCTTTTTGCAACAAAAATGTTGGGAATATTTTTAACGGGGACATGCCCGACCTAAAAGTATGTATTATTGGACTCCCAGGTTCCAATCTACTTTAAGCGCATTCCTGCTTCAATGATCGAGTGGCTTCGCCTTTTTCGTCCTCCTTAGGGGGCGGGCGGAGCCCAATCTGCTTTCAACGCATTCCTCCTTCATGTGTCGACCTGCTTCTTCCGACCGGCGTGTACCATGGCATAATGATCGCGTGGCGTGCGCGCATGTTCCAAGGTTTCGCCGCACCGTGGATGTCGCGTCGGTTTTCGAATGGGATGGTGGGCCTGCGCACGCTCTGCAGGGCCTGCACATGATTCAGCTTGTGAAGGCCTTGCGGTCGACGCCGCCGATCTGGAAGGGAGAGCCCGAGGCGTCTGGGAGGCAAGGAATCGAGAGGGAAAGCGTCTCCGAGGGAGGGGTGCTCCCCTAGGGGGGGGGGGGGGGGGGCGTTCACGACCCCTTAGATCTCCCCCCTACCCCTGGGGACCCCCCCCAGGACCCCCCCCGCGATCCCCCCCCCTCTTCCCAGCGGGGAAGGGATCAACGGGAAGGGACGTTTCTCGGATTCTTTTTGACCAGGACGTTTGACGAGAAGGGCCCGCGGACAGGGGCAGAGACAGGGGGGAGAGTTCACGGTGATGACGTCGACAACGACACGACGACAACAACGACGTCTCAAATGGACAAGCCTCTCACACACGCCGACAGGGTCGGCAGATTTTGCCGCAATGTGCATATCTTGTTTTTGTGTCATGGATGCTTGGGGCTGTTGGCATTGGCCCTGGTCAGGGGCCGGCAGAGAGGGAGGTCCATGAGTCAGGAGCAGTGGTGATTTTTTTCCCCGAAGGGGGAGGGTGAAGGAATAGGAAACGCGCTGGACCACCTCCGCCCAGAGTGCTGGTGGGATTTCTGAATGTCAGAATTTTAATATCTCACCCTCCTCGCGATCTTTTACGCTCGTCCGCATCGGAATTGAATTGCGAGATCATTCTCTGCCGTCCTTTCTTGTTTGGCGCATTCCGTTCTGGGCACTGCTTGAACATGGTACGCATTGCAGGGCGATCCGTGAACAAGCAAACTTATGATGTTTGGTGGAGCAGGTGTTGGTGATGAAGGCAGGGGCGGTGGGCGAGGAACGAGGGCAAAAAGAGGAAGGAGGGGAAGGACCATAATCAGGAGCAGGAGGGAGAGGGGGAGAGAGCCAGGCAGGCCTAGGACGAATATGCATTGTTCCAGAGCGTTCGAGTACGCGTTCAGAGCGCGCCAGAGCGTTCAGGAACGGCTGCGGCTCCAGACACATCCTCTAGACCCGCTGGTTCTCAGAGGCTTCTGGTATCAAGATCTCACCCCTGGCATGTCTTGTTGCCGTCGTCCGAGAGGAGGAAGAAGAACGCCCCGCCCTCCCCCGCTTCAGCCGGTGCCAGTGCCAGTGCCAGTGCCAGCCGATGCCTGCCACAACTGGTTTCCACACTGGCAGCAGCCCGACCAGCCGGCGTTGCCGACCACGCGGCCCTTGGGGACGTTGGCCACAGACAGAGAGGACGCGGCCGAGCCCACGGGGGCAGCTGCACCAGTAGCTCGGCCCAGTGATTGCGGCAGGTTCGAGATGGCGTTCAAGATTTACGTCGCTGGCGGCCCAGAGTCTACCGACATCGATCTGTCCGCGACATCGCCGGGGAAACGTAAGTCTCGCGTATGCCGGAACTCCGGATTGCCGGCGCTTTTTGACGATCGCGTCCTGGATTTTGACGGTCCAGTTTTCGTGGGATGTTTGCAGCGGGAGCTCGCGTCAAATTTGAGACTGGGTCTCATCATTTTCATGATGACCCCGTCAGGCCATCCCGAGTCCCCCGTACCCGAGTCTTACGTCTCCCCGATATCGGAAAGCCGCGATCGTTGAAGGCTGAACCATCCGCGCGCTGGCAGAAGCGAAGGCCCCGAATCGAAGGCGGGTCGCCTGGGCGCGGGGGACACATCGGCGTGCTCCGAACCAACCGTGAAACAGCCCGCTGCAGACGGTGATTTTTTCTCAAAGCAGCGTTGGCGAGTCACGGGTGGGTCTCGGGACTGTCGCGGATGGGCCTCGTGGCGGGTCGCGGGGATGATCGCGGGTGGTTTGCGTGGTGGGTCGCGGATGGGTCGACGACAAGACGAGTCAGGGATGCCATGATGCAACATTGCACGACACCAGTTGCAACAATCCCGAGCACACATCTTTGTTTTCCAGCCACTCACCAAAGTGAAGGCTTATCAGCCCCCCCTCCGTCTGTTTTACGGTTGGCATTGCAGAGATGGCATGTGATGTGGAGCCGTTGGCTCGCGTGCTGCACGCGATCCCCCCCCCTTGAGGACAGTGTGCACCGAACAGGCCCTGGCAGGTTTGGTGGCGTGCACGGGAGGGGCCCTCGCATGGGGGTGATCGTCTCGCAGGGATAACGTGCACGGCGGACGCTTTATTCTGGTTTCGGAGATCGGTGTGGCACGCTGCAGTCAGCCCGCACAGCACGAATGGGCAACCTTCCCAAGGATACCCTTGCATCCTTGCCTCCTCGGTCCATCCTTTGCCACATTCGTTGGCCGCACCCCGCTCAGAAAACTTCGAGACGGCCGTCCAAGGCCCTTGCATATGATCGTTTTGTTGATTCATTGTTCTGCCGTTCGTCGCGGGCCCTCGCACCCCCCTTCCCCCCCCGACGTGGAGTAGATCTTGGCCGTTTTTGGCGCCTGTTTTGAGGGGGTGTATTCTCTCCCATGGGACACACTGGTACAAACAGTCGCAGTAAGCAGAGGTCCAGAGCCAGACACCCCCTCTCCCCCCCTCCCGCCCAATGTCGAAACGCCGAATTACGCTACCGAGGAACCCCACATACTTCTACTATGGCTGGAGTGATGATAGCTGAAGTGAAACATGTGAGAATGATGTTGGTGGCTGTTCTCTGCGCCCCCCCCCAGGGTGTCGAGAATATGCCACGCCTGCTATGCCCTGAACGACTGGCTCGGATAGCGGCCGCGCTCAGAGACCACCCCCTTCGCACCCCGTACGGTGCTGAGAAAGTGCCACACCTGCTATGCCCTGGACGACCGGCTCGGACAGCGGCCACGCTCAAAGACCACCCCCTTCGCACCCCGTACGGTGTTGAGAAAGTGCCACGCCTGCTTTTCCCTGGACGACCGGCTCGGATAGCGGCCGCGCTCAGAGACCACCCCCTTCGCACCCCGTACGGTGTTGAGAAAGTGGCACGCCTGCTACGCCCTGGACGACCGGCTCGGATAGCGGCCGCGCTCATAGACCACGCCCTGCGCACCCCCTATGGCGTCGAGAATAGGCCACGCCTGCTATGCCATGTCAGGCCACCAATTGTTGAGCTGCCGGCGGTACGCATTAAATGCTCCGTGGGCACATCTGCGCGAGTTCTCCAAGCCGACCTCGCCACCCATTTGAGTCATTGCGTTCTTCATCGCCAAACATGGAGGTGGCAAGGCGTCCATGGCAATTTTGGGCGGCATGTCTGCCACACGCAAGTACCGCGGTTGCTGCCTTCAAACGGAATCACAGGCGAGACTGCGAGGAAGCGCGTGCACGCCGAAACGGCTTGAGCCAAGGTGCTTACAGTTCTGGAAAACATGCGGGTTCGCCTGCCGCGTTTTGCGAGCACGAAGCGGATATCGCTCCCACCCCCAGCGCAGCCCCTGTGGTGTCGAGGAAGTGCCACGTTTGCCACTTTTTGCAAGTCCGAAGCGGGTAGCGCTCCCACCCCCAGCTCGCCCCCCAAGGTGTCGAGGCTGTGGCACGCTTGCCTCGCGCTGCGAGCCCGAAGCGGATAGCGCTCCCACCCCCAACGCATCCTCTGTGGCGTCGAGGAAGTGCCACGCGTGCCACGCTTTGCGAGTTCAAAACGGATAGAGCATCCATCCCCAGCGCGCCCCCTGTGGTGTCGAGGAAATGCCACGCCTATCACTCTTTGCGAGCCCGATACGGATAGCGCTCCCACCCCCAGCTCACCCCCTGTGGTGTCGAGGATTTGCCACGCCTGCCACGACTTGCGAGCCCGACACGGATAGCGCCCCCACCCACAGCGCAGCCCCTGTGGTGTCGAGGAAATGCCACGCCTGCCACGCTTTGCGCACTCCCTGTGGTGTAGAAGGTGTGCCACGCTTGCCACGTTTTGCGAGCACGAAACGGATAACGTTCCCACCCCCAGCGCATCCCTTTGTGGTGTCGAGGCAGTGCCACGCCTGCCACGCTCTGCGAGCCCGAAACAGGTAATGCTCCCACCCACAGTTCACCCTCTGTGGTGTCGAGGAAGTGCGACGCCTGCCACGCTTTGCGAGCCCGAAACCGGCAGCGCTGCCACCCACAGCTCACGCTCTGTGGTGTCGAGGAAGTGCGACGCCTGCCACGCGTTGCGAGCCCGAAACGGGTAGCGCTCCCAGCCCCAGCTCACCCCATGTGGTGTCGAGGATGTGCCACACCTGCCACGCTTTCGCTCTGCGAGCGCGGAACGGATAACGTTCCCACCCCCAGCGCATCCCTTGGGGTGTCGAGGAAGTGCCACGCGTGCCACGCTCTGCGAGCCCGAAACGGGTAGCGCTCCCACCCCCAGCTCGCCCCCATGTGGGGCCGAGGAAGTGCCACGCCTGCCGCGCTCTGCGAGCACGAAACGGATAGCGCTCCCAGCCCCAGCTCGCCCCCATGTGGGGCCGAGGATGTGCCACGCTTGCCGCGCCTTGCGAGCCCGAAACGGATGGCGCTCCCACCCACTGCGCAGCCCCTGTGGTGTCGAGAAAATGTCTCGCCTGCCACGCTCTGCGCACTCCGTTGTGTCAAGGATGTGCCACACCTGCCACGCTTTGCGAGCCCGAGACAGATAACGCTCCCACCCGCAGCGCATCCCCTGTGGTGTCGAGGAAGTGCCACGCCTGCCACGCCGTGCGAACCCGAAACGGTTAGCGCTCCACCCCCCAGCTCACCCCTTGTGGTGTCGAGGAAGTGCCACGCTTGCCGCGCCTTGCGAGCCTGAAATGGGTAGCGCCCCCACCCCCAGCTCACCCCCTGTGGTGTCGAGGATGTGCCGCGCCTGCCACGCTTTGCGAGCCCGAAACGGGTAGCGCTCTCACACGTCTTGGGTGTATGATTAAGTGAAAACGCCAGGCGTGCACTAGCGTTGTATGGTGTATGTTGTGTGTGTGAGTGTGTGTGTGTGTGTCTGTGTGTGCGAGTGTGTGCGAGTGTGTGCATGCGTGCGGCTGCATGTAGACGCGTGTCTGATGCACGTGCCGTGCATGGGTTGCGTGTAGGCGAAGGGAGGAAGGATGTGGAGGAGGGGAGGAAGGAGGAGGGAGGGGAGGTGGGTGAGGAGGAGACGCGGGTGCGACGCGGCAGGGATGAAAACCAGAGCCTCACGAAGCAGGTGGGGAAAAAAAACGCTTGCCATCCTTATCGCGCACCCTTCTGGTACCGGCCGACTGTATCTTTGCGATCCCGACTGTAAGCTGTTCGTGCCGGTGTTGGGTGGCGCAGTCCCTCTTCGGGGTGTGCAGCCTCGGCTGTCCGCGGTGGGGCCTCCTGCGGGCCTGCGGCCGCTGGAGGCGCAGCGTGTCCTCTTGCGTGCTCGGTGAGATCATTGCGTCTGCGACCGTCTGTGGCTCGGAGGCTCGTCTGTGCCCTGGCTCGGCGGCGAGCGAGGAGGAGAAGCGAGAAGGGGCGGGCCCTCCCAGAAGGCTCGGGAGCCCGCCGGCCTACTGAGGAGCTTCCTCAGCCTTCCCGGAGGACACAGAATACTTCTCAGCAGGCGCCAGGGCCTTCTGAGAAGTCCCTCCGCCTTCTGAGAAGTCCTTCTCCGTCTCATTTCCCACCCTCGCTGGCCGCCAACTGGCATGAGAGGCCACACGGCCTTCATAGCGTGAACGTGCCTTTGAGGCTGCTGTGGTTGCTGTGGTTATTCGGGCCTTTAGGGCTGCTGCGGTTACTTTTTAAACCCAAGTCGCTGGTGTGTTATGGTCGCAGGCCTGGTGCACACAGGGGTGGGAAATCCGAAGTTGTCGTGCCGGCTGTTGCACCTGGGAAATGTCAAGACGAGTTGCGCTACGCGCAAATCATCATCATCATCATCATCATCATCATCATCATCATCATCATCATCATCATCATCATCATCATCATCATCATCATCATCATCATCATCATCATCATCATCATCATCATCATCATCATCATCATCATCATCATCATCATCATCATCATCATCATCATCATCATCGTCATCGTCATCGTCATCGTCATCGTCATCGTCATCGTCATCGTCATCATCATCATCATCATCATCATCATCATCATCATCATGGATTTGGGAACGCGTACGTGCACCTCTACTTGTATCACGTACCGTTCTTCATTGTTGGCGCCGACTGTATGCCGAAGAGCTTCTTGCCTGAATGGCGGTTGATGATGAACACGAGGGTGAATTTGATGGTGCCTCTGATCGTGCTCCGTGTTTGCGGTGGTCCGAAGGGTCTCACCGCAGTGGTGTCGGCAGCGAAAATGTCAACAGGAAGGAAAATGGTGGCGAGATGGTCGCGAAGTTGGTTCTGACCAGTGCCAGGCAGTGGCGAAGCGTCCTGGCCCGCCTATAGGCCCACCAAATAATGTTCTAAGAACCTTTCGCAGTATGCACGATATGTCTTTGGAACATGTCTGGCTGGGACTGTATTGTTTTGACGCATCGGGTGTATGCTCTAATAACGTTATTTGCGTTTTTAGAAACTTTTGGATTATAAGAGCATTCCGTGGTGGGCCTATAGGAATGCCGGGACGGTCGGTCCCTGCTCAACATTGACCGGGTATAGTTGTAGACGATGGGTTAGCGAAGTTGGTTTTGGTAGGCTAATGTACCTCTGAGGCGGTGGGTATAGCCATGGCTACAGCTGGGTAGTGCGATGGCAATGTCGATGGGGCGCGTTGATGGCGAAGATGATGGTAGTGTTTTCGAATACGAGAACGATCATGACATTGATTATAGTTACGAGTCAGTGCTTGCAGTGATAGCGGTTGGGAAGGCGATGCAAAACGATGATGATTAAATGTTGGGAGTGAGTCGCCGACGGCGCTGACAGTGGCGGGGCGTTCTTCACGACTCCGAAACTTGGTACCCGAAAAACCTTGGCGTTGGCCGAATCATTGGTCGACTTTACCATCTGCGCTCGGCGCTTTGGGGGAAAGGCGCCGAAACCGGACAGATTGGGGCTCCTGGAGGAGCCTGGGCCCTGAAGCCCTCGTTTCCCCAGCCTTCCCCTTTTGGATCGCACCCGAATCTATTCACGGCTGCGCGTCGTTGAGAGCGAGTCTTCGTCGGAGCTACTTTCGCTGTGCGGCTTTCCAGGGGGGTCGAGCGGGCGGCAATGGGGGGTGACCCGAATGGGGGGTGAACGTCGGGGCCATTTAGCCTCTGGGGCCCCTGTGGGGCACCAACTGGCTCCAAGAGGGTTCTCAATCAGAAGGGCCCCTTTAGGGCCCTTCTCTTCACCCGCCGGTTGGGTCACCCCCCACTGCCACCCGCCCAAGGGGGGGGGGGGGAGGGCCAGTCCAGGCTCTCAGGCCCTACTGTCGCATCGCAGGCAAGGATCGGCTCGCCGCTCACAAGAGGTCACGCCTTGCCTATAGGGCCACTCCTCGCGTGTACCTCTCATCGCTTCTCACAACGGCATACCGATCAGGAGATACCTCTTGCGATAGCCGGTCTTTTCGCGCACTGCAAGCTTTCTGTTGGCCCAGGGCTTCCGGAGCCCGCCGCTTGAGACCAGGAGTCGCCCGCGAGACCCCGGAAGCCGGAGATGGAGAGCCTGCTGGACGACACGGGTCTGCTCCGCGTCATCGCCGACGCTTGCCAGCGGGTCCGCGACGACCGGCCCCTCCGTCACGGAGCCGGGGGGCGGCGGACGCGGTCAGCCGGTGGCGTCGCAGCCGGGTGCGTTTGGTCGGTCGGTCGGGTCAGTCGGCTGTTGTGTCTCGCACAGTCAAGGCAGGTTTCGTGATCGTGGGGTCCGCGCGCAGCTCTCTCGGATCGGCGTTGGGCCACCCTGGCGAGGGGGGGGAAGAGGAGGAGTAGGAGGAGGAGGAGGAGGAGGCTTTAGGGGAGGTCCGCAGGGACCTCCGAGATATATCGTGCTTGTGCTTTCTTTCTCTGCTCCTCTGCATCGGCCCACTCAAAGTTCCCTGAGCTTTCCCCACGGAGCTCGCCAGCGGAAGTCGGCGGAAGTAACCAGCGCTGCCGAAGACGGCGGAAGGCCGGCGGAGGTGACAGACGCTCCTCGCGAGCCCCCGAGAAGCCTAGCAAGGCAGCCTTTTTGTGCGGGTTGGGCGGGATCTCACCTGTCTCAACCTGTTCTTATAATATAGTCAAGTTCAGCCGAAGAAGAAAAAACGGCATGCACACAAACTTTCGGCGCTCCGCGCAGATTTATTGGATCCGCGCTGGGGCCCCCCTGGCGGCGCCTCCAGCGCCACGCCTGGCGCGCTCCGCGCGCAAGGGAGGGGGGTCCAGCGCAGATCCAAGAAATCCGGGCGGAGAACCAAAAGTTTATGTTTATGGCATTTGTTCTTCCAGTATTCAGGCGATTCATGATCCCACCCACCAGAAATTTGGTAAGCCAGGCTCCCATCTCTGGCCCAGATCCCGGCAGCCTTGGATCGGCCCGGCGTGCGACGGGGCTGAAGAGTTGCAGGCGCCTTACCGTGTTGGAGTCATCTTGAGGTCTTCTTGATATCATACCGCCATTATATCCGATTCATTGTTGGATCATGCGGACGTCGTCGGATCAGTCTAGAGCCACTTTTGCTGCGCTTGGATTCATCGTGTGGCCATCGCGCCATCTCGGGGCCACTCGTTGCTCGTAGGTTGGGCCACCTTAGAGTCAGCCTGAGACGACCCTGAAGAAATGTTGGAGTCATGTCTGTGCGGCGTCATCCCAGGGTCGCCTGGAGGTCATCGTAGGTATCGTCGCTAGCTGAGCTATGAACACGCGTGCATAACGTGTCATCTTGCCGAGGGCGCAGTTGCAAAGACATCCTCTTGCGAGTTTCCAAGGAAACTGATGTTGGGGCCAAGTAGTTGTCGTTTTGCTGCGTTGCTGCGCCCTTCTGGTCACCACCGAAGAAGAACCACCACCACCACCAGCAGCTAGAGGGGCTGGCTGCTCCCCCCCCCGAGCTGGTGGCACCCCGCTCCGGGCGCGCCCCCATAGAGTGCCCAGGACAGAGTGCCACCAGCTCTGGGGGGGGCCTTTCGGGACCGGAGTTCTACAGTTCTACAGTCGAGTTTGACTCGTAGGTCGACCCTGCCCAACACAAGGGTACCCTTGTGTCCTATGTTTCGCGACTCATGCCCTCTCTATGCTCCACTGGCAACATGCCGAAGAGAGTGGGCATGGCCTACTTGCGCGGCAAGGACGACTGGGACACATCGCCGAAGGGCAGTCCAGGTAGGGCCGCAGCGGCATGGACGGCCGAGGGCATTACGTACAGGAACACGCAGCTCATTGCGCACGTGATTGGGAAGCTGCAGAGCTTGGGGGTACCGTGGATTATCGGGGGTGACTTCCATGTCGCGCCTGAGGTGCTGGCGGAGGTCGAGAGCGTGAAGGTAGCTAAGGCAATGGTTGTGGCGCCCAACGCGGATTGCGGCACATGCAGGCACGCCTACGGGAATAGCGAGATCGATTATTTCTTGGTGGCAGACTCGGTGCAGGCGCAGGTGCAGCACATAGAAGTGCAGGAATCATGGCCAGCGGCGCCGCACAAGCCAGTCGGGCTCACGGTCCAGATCAAGGTCGTGGAACGCAAGGTCAGAGTGCTGGAGAAGCCCAAGGCCTTGCCAGTGCCAGAGATGCAGATTGGATGCGCGCCCGCACCCCCGAGCTACGAGCAGGTACTGGGGTTCAAGACGCAGGAGCAGACCAACAAAGCGCGGGCCAAGTAGATGCGGGTGCTGGGGCAGGAGGCTTTCCAGGTCAGGGGTATGCAATGGGCGGAGGACGACCCGCGCGCGGGGCGGGCAGAGGAGCCGAAGTGGAGGATCAAGACGCTCAATTTCGGAGGCGAGAACGTTCCCACGGCAGCGAGGGAGGCAACGTAGTGGCGATGGCTAACACGATCCCTGCATGGACTGCAAGGCGCCTACTTTGGGTGGAGGAAAGCAAAGGAGCAAGACATGGTGCTGAAGAGGTACCACGAAACGAGAAGCCAGGACACATTTTTCCAGGTCAGGCACAGGCGCATGAAGTACAGGGTATCTGGCAAGCACGCAGTGACACCACAACAGGTGGGCCGCTGCGAGGAGGGAACAAGGAAGCAAACATCCAGAGCTGGATGCAGGAGGCGGAGAGCAAGATGAAGGCGGTAGACCAGAGGTTGCTGCGAGAGAAAAAGGCGAAGTGGGCTGATAAGCTGGAGATAGCGGCGACAGGAGCAGCAGGAGTGTTACACAGGCTCAGTAAGGCAGCTACAGTGCGGAGGCCCAGGCGCGCGGGCACCATGGAGAAGGCGGCATACCCACTGGAAGCGGTGGAGCACACCTGGGAGGAGTGGAAGGTCGTCTGGAGGGCCGGGGAGAAGTTGCAGGGGGAGCCGAGGTCATGGGAGCTGCGGCCCAGGCAGGATCTTGAAGATTTCAAGGAGGATGTAGACAGGCTGAAGGAGGTGGCGCGCACCTTCAGGAGACGCACAGGAATTGGAGTGGGTCGGTGGCTCCATCCATGCTGCAGGGCGCGTGCGACGAGGCTTACAACAGGCTGCTGGACATCCTCAGGGCAGTGGAGTGCACGTTGGTCTGGCCGGTCCACATGGCCACGGTCTTCTCTTCATAGTCCCGCAGAACTTCACCACCGATAAGGTCATTTGTTTGCTGCCGACCACCATCCGCGCGTGAGAAATCATGGGAGAGCCGCACATGACCAAGTGGGCGAAGGAAAATCAGAGGAGTTGCGGGGTTGCACGAGCCACGGGAGGGCAGCTGAGGACGCGGCGTGGGATGCATTCCTCAGCCATGAGATGGACGATCCCAACGAGAGTGAGGAGCTGGAGGCCACGATCACCGCGGTGCTGGACTTGGTCAAGGTCTTTGAAAGGGTGAGCTTGCACGTGCTGTGGGGGGCGGGCAAGCAGCATAACTTCAACGTGGGAGTGCTAGCGGTGGTGCGTTCGTACTTCGCGATGGCGAGGGGGCTCATAGTGGGAGACCCAGTGTCCAGCGAGACCAGCACGGTGACCACGTTCATAGCTGGAAACACGTTTTCTGTGTGCGTCCTGCGGATGGTCATCCAGTCGACGGTTGCTGGCCTAGTGGTGGAAAGGCTGCGCGCAAAGTGGCGCATGTCTGTGGACGACCTATGTGTGCGTCGTGACAGCAGCAGAAGTATATCGTGCAGGATTTCGGCGACACCATCGACGCGTGCTCTGCGAGCTTCAACAAGCTAAAGCTAGGCTTCAAGTTCCGGGTGGGAAGCCACGGCGAAGGCGCAGTCTTGGCGAGCGCGAGCGAAGTTGTTGCGTAGAATGGTGGCGAAGGACATGGCGCGCAGAGGACTGCCAGTAGTGGGAGCGCGCCCGTATCTGGGAGTGGGCCCCATCACGCATGCGACGGCGGCGACGACGAAATGTGGGAAGCGGTGCAAGGGCACGCTATGCAGGAGCAGGAGGCTTGCGAACCTGGAAGGCGGTAGCCGCAAGATGGCGAGAGGGGCTGTACTTGGTCTTCAAGTGTGGATGGATGAGGTCGGTGCTGCACGGGTGCAAGTGCTCGGGTATGCCAGATCACCAGCTGCGGCAACTGCGACGGGAAGCAGGACGAGCATTGCCAGGGGGACGGGGGGGCCAAGAGCCCGACGCTGCAGTTGGCCCTGGCAGGCGAGGAACCCGCACTTGAGGCCGCGGAGGCGCCCAACACCCGTTGGGCGAGGGAGGTTTGGCAAGCGGCGCATACCAACGAGGTGACGCAGTAGTGGGACAGCGTGGAGACCATGGCGATGAAGGCGTGGAGGCGACAGCAGCAAGTGGTCGGGGCGAAGCCAATGTGGGCGAAGGTGCGTGGGCCAGCGGGGGCAGTCGCCATGTCCCTGAGGCGGGCGCTGTGGTCGTGGCCATCCTGGCATACAGTCATCACCAAGGCAGACTACGCCCTGGACGTGCGGGAGGGGTGCCTGATGGATGTGGCGGCGATGTTGCGAAAGGACGTGCAACGGCAGTTGTGGGGGGGCTGGGCCAGGGCGGAGGGGCACGCGGGCTTGCGACCTGCGCCAATGGCGGCGCCTGCGGTGGCACTACTGAAGGCGCGCGATATCCCCATGCTCGCCAAGAACGCAGCAAAGCAGGCTTTCGCGAGCGGGAGCTGGACAATGAGCGAGCTGATCCAGTGCAGCATTGTGTCGGCGGACATATGCTCGGCCTGTGGTTTGGCGGAGGGCACCGCACATCAGGCACTGCATGGGCACGGCCTTGCGGGAGCTGCGGCTGAAGGCGCGGCCTGAGTGGCAGACGGCGGCGGAGCAGCGGGAGGACAGTTTACTTCTTAGACGAGAGGGCGCGCGAGGCAGGCACCCAGAGGCGGATTGGACTTTCATCGGTATTGACGTGGGCCAATGCACGTGCCAGGTTGTGGAGGAAGGCGAGAACCACTTCATGGGGGACGTCGTGCGCGACGGCTCTAAACTGGAATGCAGTGAGTTGGCGCAGACTGGATGGGCGGCGATGCTGGTGAACGATGCGGGTGCGCCAAAGTACCAGGCGTGGAGGCCGCTACCGTGCGCGCAACCAGTCCATAGGCAAGTCAAAAGAGCAGAGATGCGGGCCTTTTCTGCAATGCACTGGAGCATAATTTGGGCGACGGTAAGGTGAACGCGGAACACTGGGACGGTCATAGAGGGCTTGCGACAGGGCGAAAGATGGCGCCTAAGCAGGAAGAGGCCGCATGCGGACATCTCGAAGCGAATCTGGGACTTGGATGTCAGCGAGGCGTGCCGCGTTAAAGCGCGCAGATCAAGGTCCAGGGTCGAGCAGCTGGACGGTGGCGAGCTCAAGATCGCAAAGGGCAACGCCGAGGTGGACCTGTTAGCCAAAGCGGGGGCTGAGCTGGACGCCAACTTCGGGGAGCATCAAGTTGTGGGGGATCTAACTTGCCGAGTGCGCTGGGCGTTGCAGAACATAGGGCGGCGGCATCAGCAGATGGCGGGGGAGTGGCCAGACGTACCGAAGCGCGAAGATGGGCGGCCAGCACGCAAAATGGTCATGCCGCAGATAGCGCTCGCCAGGCACCACGTCGAGATTTTGAACGGGTGGATGGTATGCCTGAGATGTGGTCGAAGGGCGGCGACAGAGAGGATGAAGAAAAAGCTGCGGGAGCCCGAGCGCCAGGTGCCGTTGCGGAGACCGACGGGGGGCAGGGCGACAGGCGCGGCCAGTTCATTGGAGGCGAACGTTGCCATCGCGGTGGCAGCCACCGCAGCAGATGCGGCTGCAGCAGCCGCGCGCGACCAGCGCAGACGGGGCCCAATGGCAGGGGACGAACTACGTGAACGAGAACACCGAGTGGAAGTGCACGCGCCCCGCGCCGGGCGCGCGGCGCGTGGCGCGAGCGCAGCGAGGCGGAGGGCAGGGCTAGGAGCGGCGCACCCGGGCCCGCTAGCAGAGCGGGGCGCGAGCAGCAGAGACGCCGAGAGGGAGAAGAGGGGCAGGATCCTGGCAGGAAAGCGCCCGCAGACGGGGAAGCCCCTGGCGCCCGAGATGCAGCTGCCAACGCGTCGCTGGTAGTCTGGAAATTGTCGGAGCGGGGGCTCCTCCGCCCAGCCCCGGCATCGGGGGGATAGCGTCGCCACTTGCTGGATTTGCCCGCTGGCGCTGCAGGGGGGCGCTTCACACCGTGCGCGCGGACGTGCGCGAGGCGCGCAGCCCAGTGGGAATTCAGGCCAACCTCCTGATTGATGGGAAGGAGCTTGGCGCGCCGGCGCGTCGAAGGCGCCGAGTGCCAGCGACGCCGCGTGTGCGACGTGATGGGCCACGTGCTGGCGCTGGCCTGCAAGACCTGATGGCGGCCGCAGCGCGCGGCGAACGGGCCTCCTGGCGGGGTCCGCTGGAGGTTTTGGGGAGTAGAATAAGGCATCTTGGGGCTTCCTGGGGGCTTCTTGGGGCTGAGGGCTGAACTGTTCGGTTCCTGGTCGCCTTCTTGGGCCCTTCTTGGGGCCGTTATGGGGGCCTCTTGGGCCGTCTCGGGCGCATCTTGGTGCCCGCTTGGGCCGTCTTGGGGCTGTCTTGGGCTCTATTGGGCCCATCTTGGGCGGCGCGTTGGGCCGTCTGGGGGCGATGTTGGAGGCTTCTGGGGCAGTTCTCCACATTGTGAAACCCCGGGCGTCGAACATTCGAACATGTATTTCTCCCGGAGGGAATGGGGCGATGTTCGCTCGTTGGGGCCCTCTTGGAGAGCCTCTTGAGGGTTCTCTGTTTTTTTTTCCGCGGCTTCTAGGGCCAGTTGGGGGCCATCTTGAGCGTGTTGGAGCGATTATTCAGCGACTCGGGGTCTCTTGGGCCGTGGGGTGGGCGTCCCGGCGCCCTGCGAGCGCGCTCGTGGAACGCCTGGGTATCGCCCGGGCATCGCCCGGGCATCGGCCAAGGCATTTTTCGTCAAGGGGTCCCCAAAGACCGCCACGCGCGCGAACTCTAAATACTGTCAACCTGTTGCTGGAGATCTTAGCACGCCTCTAGCCCGTTTGGCCGGCGAATTCAGTGTCCTGGTTTGCTCCGTTCTGCAAGTTCATTAGTGGGGCATCGTGTGCGGCTTGCTTCCCGTAGTTGGAAATGGTAGACTTGATACGCAATTTGCTTCAGCGTTTTGTAGGCTTGATTTGAACCTTGTTTTTCTGAGCTTGAACTGCTTGGTTCGTCGAAGGCATTTGCTTGAAGTCCGCTGGCAAGGTTCGGGCACTGGCTTTTCTGCAAAGCCTTCCAATACCGTACTTTCCACATCAGAAATCCACGTTGCGCCATGGGTTGCGCACGCCCGAATCATTGGCGGTGGTCTGCGCTGCCCAGGTTGCACCACAGGCCGCGCATGCCCCGCAGAATCAATGGTCGGTCCATTCTTTCTCCCAGTGTGCAAGACTCTGCACACCATTTTATTTGTTCGGGGAACGAGCGGCTGTGACGGAACACCAGGGGGGGATGGATGGACGAGGACGAAGCGAAAAAAAAGGACACCCCTGATCTTTACATCGCGCGCCCGACATGACATGGGTTGGCCTGGGCGCAGCCCTCGCGCTCCGATCCCGCTCGCTCCTGGCGCGGCCGGGGCCTCTCGCCTCGATCGCTTCGTGGCGCCTTGATCGGCTCAGAGACGACGTGGCCCGGTGTGGCCTCGCGGCGGCCAGGTCTCCCAGGGGCGCTGGGGAGAGCCGTGCCGGGCAGAGGGAGGCGCCAGACGGGCGGGATGTGCAGTGCGCCTTTGCCGACCTGGCCAGCTTACTTCCTCCTGGCGCCGCCCTCTTCCCGTCCAGTGTCCGTTCCCCGTCAGAAAGGAGGGGGCGGTGGGAACGGGCCAGATGGTTCTGGAGAGGTGCAGTGGGATATTTGGAATGGGGTGGTCTGTTTCGAAAGATCCCCACCGTAGATGTGTTGCGAATGCCCCACGGTGGCGAAGTTTGTTTTCGGTGTCAATACAGGGTGATGTGCCATGTAATTGTGCATGGGTGGTGCTGATGTATGTTCTCTACACATGGTGTTTGCTGCGTTCTTCAGGACTGTTCTTTCTGCACGTTGATTTCACATCGCATGGTCTATCGTAAATTATCGCCATGTGTATATGTATCTACACATAACGGCGCACCGGGTTCGGGGGCCGAGGGCCGGAACCTCGACCACAAATGTGGGGACCAGGGCCCGGGCCACGCCTTTGGGAGGTTTAAAATCGCCCCAGGGAGCCCTCAGACAGCAATCCCGGCGGCCCCAGGCGGTCTCGAGACACCCCCAAGACGCCGTTCAGGGGTCTTTGGCGACGCACGATGCGTTTTAAACTGCCCGGGAGGCCCCCAAGACGCCCCAAGAGGCCTTGAAGATGCCGCCCAAGAGCTCCCCGAGAGGGCAGAATCTTTGATGTCCATTGTTTCTTCCATGTTTTTTGCATTCTCGCTGTTTCGTGTTTCCGGCGCCAAAGCACCGCCCAAGAGGCCCCCAAAACCGCTCCAAGACGGCCCACGAGGCCCCCAAGAGGGCCCCCAGACGGCCCAAGAGAGCCCCGAGTCGGCCCCAGAGCCGCCCAAGACGGCGCCAGAGGGTGCCAAGAAGGCCCCAAGAGGGACCCAAGAGAGGGAACGCGAACTGAAAAATCAAGCTCTCCGCCCCAAGATGCCCCCAAGAGGCCCCAAGCTCCCAGGAAGCCCCCAAGAGGCCCCAAGAGGGTCCCAAGAGGCCCCAAGAGGCCCCCAAAAAGCCCAAAAGAGGCTCCAAAAGGCCCCAAGACGACACCCAAAAGGCTTCAACACTTGTTCTAAGAGGCCCCCGAAGACATGCCAAGAAGGTCCCATGACTACTTCAAGAAGCTGTCCAGGATGCTCCGAGCAGGCCCCAAGAAGCTAGTTAGAACTTGAGCACGCACGAAGCGCGCGCGATGGTTCTAGTGTTTGCATATATACTTATATATACATATACATTTATATATATATATATATATATATATATATATATATATATATATATGTGTCTGTGTGTGTTCACACCTGTTGCATCTGCATGATATGTGCATGCCGATTATGTTATGTGGTTGGGCTCAAGTAATGTATGCTTACCCTATGTTGGGTTCCTTGGGTAGTCTCTTTATGTGCCGTAGTCGCGTTTGTCTGTTACGCATGCGATGTATACCGGTAATCGTGCTGTTCCTGCATGTCTGTTTTGGTTGCCTGTTTGCTATCCTGCGTGCATGGCATTCATTGACCTTCCTAGGTGGGTCAGCCGCCGATGTTTCTTGTCGCCTCCCTGCCTGGTCTCGACGGTTCCCCCATGGCCATCACCAACATCTCAGGTCGTTTGCTCGCCATTCCCCTGGCAGTGTCCAGGCGTGCTCTCTGTTCTGTACGTGAGGCGTCCCAAAAGAAAGGTCTCGCCATCGAGGATCGACGAAGGAGTTGTCATCTCTTCCGCCGTGGAAGGCGTCGGAAGGGCGGCGGAAGGTCGACGGAAGTAAAACAGGGCCGCCTCCGCCGGCGGAAGGGGCAAAAGACGCCTCCAAGAGATGAGCACGTTTTTGGGTTCAGGGTTTCCAATCTCCGCCATGGATGCTCTTTGTGTCTGTCGGTTGGGGGTGTCATCGGCTCTGTCGTCGTCTGTTGAGGACGCGTTGCGGGATGCCAGCGATTCGATCCTTGGGGGGGGTGGGGCTGGCGGCCGCGGCATGCGGGGCGGACGAACGGATCTGGAGCTTGCTGTCCGACATCTGGCCACCCAAACCTGTCGGATATGGGGAGGAGGAGTAGGAGGAGGGGGAGGAGGAGGAGCAGGAGGGAGGAGGAGGGAGGAGGGAGGAGGGATGGGGGGAGGAGGAGGGAGGGAGGAGGAGGAGGGGGAAGGGGAGGACGAGGAGCGGCAGGCCCAGGCGGTGCAGAAGGAGGCTCCCCCATCTCTCCCCAGAGGGGGCAGGGCGACCCGCATGCCCTCTGAGCCTTCGTGGCCCGGCGGCTCTGGAACGCGAGCTCGAGGAAGATCGAGAGGAGCACGGACCAGTCCCTGGCCTGCGCCTCGGGCACAGGGGTCCAGCGGAGGGCCGCTGGAGCCGCTGGGAGCGTTGGCCTTCGGGGGGGGGGCGCGGGCCTCGTTGCCACGGCCGGGCGCAGCTCGGAAGACCTGGCGCGTCTGTGCCCCCGAAGGGTTCCGGGGACCGATTTTGAGCCGATCTCGAGTTTCTCCAGTGTCTCAGCTCGCCCTTCTCCGAGGAATGGAGGTCAGGGGAAAGCAGGCAGGCTTCTTCAGAGAGGCGCGATGGGCTCGGAGAAGTTTGGCACCGTCTCCAGCAACTGATCTTCGCAGAGATCTGCAACGCACTTCCGTTGTCAGGCGAAATTATTGTGTTTACCATGATAGGTGGCCGAAACACGATCTGGGCTTGTCAGCAGCACGCTTGCCGCTCAACATTTCTTCTCACCAAAAGCGTAGCGCCTCGATTTCGCAGGGTGGGTGGTAGGATGAGGATGATTATCATCGTCAGAATCATCCACGAGGGGGATCACGGTGATGAGTAGGTGGGGTTCACGCCATTCACGGCACGGTCCTGTCGACGAGTTCGGTAGCAAGTCATGGTTTTTTTGTGTATGTTCGCAGTTTCGTCCTTAGAGTGCCCTGGCGTCGATTGGCGCTGGGTTTTCGGCGGGGTAGCGCCGACTCAGCGTCGATTGGCGTCGATTACCGTCGAACAGCTCATCCAGAGGCGAGGGGGATCGGCATCTCCCAAGCATGCTGTTACTATTTGTGTGCCGGCCCCGTAGCGGCGACTCGCGCGCTCGGAGATTTTTCGGCTCGGTGGCGGGCGCTTCTGGCCAGAACGCGCGGGAGACCGTCTTCGACAAGATGTTGTGCTCCGTGGTCGGGTCGGACGTGCGCCTCCGACAGGGGCACCTGGCACCGGCATGTCCTCGCGTGCCCCAGTGAGGAGCAGGTGGGGCTCATGCCAGTCACGGCACGGTCCTGTCGACGAGCAGGGCGCTCGAAGTGGGCAGGCCGAGCCGAGGGCAGGCCCGAGCTCCAGGGAGCCGATCTGGGGCTCGCCAGTCCCGAGACAGATCCCGGATCTTGCTGGAGAGCTCCAGGAAGCGATAGCCGCCATGAAGTAAACAGATATTTGAAGGGAGCTCCACGGGAGATGGTCAGCGATGTGTTCCTAGTTTTGCTGCTCCCAACGGGTTGTTCTTTGAAGGGAGCTCCACGGGTTGTTTGCTGGCTGGCTGGTTGCCTGCGCCTGTAATGATTCATGAGGGGTGGTGGCCTCGCAAGCGCGCTTCCATCGCGACGCCTCGCTTCGGGAGCGCGCACCCTAAGCCATGTTTTACGACTCGTAGGCGAGGGGGGTCGAAGAGTGCCCCCGCACCGGAGCGCAGGTCCCGATCTGAAGAGGGGGTGTTTTCAGGCAGCCTCAGTGGGGTTGATTCGTGGTCTCGGGAGCGCGAGCTTGCTGTAATTTGAAAGGAGGTCTGGCCTCGGGAGCGCGAAGTGTTGTAATTTGCAAGGCGTTGTGACGTGCATTATGGGTAAGGTATGCTGGGTTTGGGCCTCGGGGGCACCTGCGCGTAAAAACTAGCTTCGGAGTGTTGCTTCGGGGGCGCAAATTTGTCGTGATTCACCAAGGGCTGGCCTCGTGAGCGAGAATGTTGAGTGATATCAGAGGGATTATGGCTTTGGGAGCGCGAGTCTGGTGCAATTGACATGGGATCGTGGCCTCGGGAGCGCCGACGCGTAGTAATTCAGGATGGTGATTTCCGGGACGCAAGAGCTTGTTAGGTATGTATCAATGTTTATGGTTTTGGACGTCAACCTTCTATGTAATTCTGGGAGCGCGAGCCTGATGTAATGTACGAAGGGTTGTGGTTTGGGGCGCGCGAGCTTGCTATAACTAACAATGGATTGTGGCCTGTTGAGCGCGATGTGTTTGTACTTAACGTGTCTCAGGGCACTCCAAGAAATTGCCACCCTCCCCAAACCGAGGGGGCCGCATTATGTTCGCCCCCCCTTCGCGCGAGCTTCAATCACTACAACCGTGGAACTTACACAAAAAACACTTAGAACTTTTCCTTTGGAGTTGGAGCCGGCGCAGTGCGCAGGACGGCCGAGCTCTCGCAGCCCAATGCCCCCCCAAAGGGGCCGGCGGATATGTATCTATCGATATATATATATATATATATATATATGTGTGTGTATACATATTTATATATATATATATATATATATATATATATATATATATATATATATATATTAAAATGCATGAATCGACATGCATGTATTTAACTCTTCTGTACATATTTGGATGTCCAGGCATGTGGATTTACACATGTACATATGCATTTGTGCCGGGGGAAAAGGCAGAAGAAGAAAAACAGAGAGAGAGAGAGAGAGGCAGAGAGGGGGCATGTAGAGAGGAAGCATTCCCCCTTTGGGAGCCCCTGATCCAATGAGACAACCTGGTAACCTAGGCATGCCTGCCCCTCACCCGCAGCCATCCCTGCCGCTTCACTTTACGCGAGGTCTCCCCGAAAATCCAGCTCGCCATCGGTGATGCGACGGACGGCGTGCCGTTCACGATGACAATCCGCCCGAAGGCTCGGAACCGTCTTCGCCCTTCATATCTTATCCTGATCCCTCTCAGCCTCGACTATGGAATGCTCATGGATACGTAGGCGTCTGCTGTAAGCGTTACTAAAGCAGATCTTGTTGATGCATGTTTGGATTGAATAAGGGTATCACTGCTCTAGGAATATTAAGCGTGGCTCTCGCGACATAAACCTTATTTTGGTAGACGATCATTTCGCAACAGGCCTGCAGGGAGACCAAGAAGGCCGTCCGCATCCGGGGAGCATTTCGATGTTGGCGGCCTCTCCGGGACATTTTTACGCTCGGGTCGGCTCAGAGGTCCCCAAGAGGCTTCTGAAGATGTTTGACCCTCCAAGGTGGTGATGACGTGTACAAGCTCACAGAGAATTGCGGAAATCGTGTTGCGATTCGCCTCTGAGGGGCTTGCTGGGGTGGTTCCTCGGGATTTCTTAGGCCTCCAGATGATTATCGGATGCTTCTGCGGCGCGGGGTCTTCGGTCGTCTGAGGACGGGATTTCTGCGTCATCGAGGGCGCCGTTGTCCCAGACGGCATCCCGCGACTCGAGATGCGGATCACAGATCAGTAGCTGATTTTGCGAGCTGCAGGGCCAGGGCTATATTGGCAGCGGCGTCAACGAACCACCTTACCGATACCGGCTGGGCCCAGTCTCGGGGTGCAGGCCGTCTTGGCTTGGCCAGGGAGGCGAAGACACCGATCCGTGGCCCAGGATCGGCCCCGCCAGAATCGGTCAGGTGGTCAGTCGACGTCAACCGATGCAGCCTCCTCTTCGTCCTCCTCTTCCTCCTCCTCCCCTGGTATCGCCGCCCTCGCTATCTTCGGCTCAGCGGGAGCCTGCACAGCAGCTGGCAGAGCGCGCCGTTGCGCTGGCATGGAGACCGCACCCGCCAGCGATGGAGATGCCTGGAGCACGGCACACATCGGCGGCATCCCCTCGTCGCAAGGGCCACCCACAACACCAGGACCCGAGGAGGAGGAGGGGGAGGAGGAGGAGGAGGAGGAGGAGGAGGACCAGTGTAAACCCCAGACTCGTTCATCAACGATGTTGAAATACACCCTCCCTTTAAGATCCCTCTTCACAGGCCCCCACAAGGGGTCATTTCCACAGGGAATTGCCCCGTCGGGGGACAACCGTGTGAACATCTTGAAGCGTGCCAAACTACCATCCGCAGACTTCAATGCCACGGGGCAACCTGACTGTTACGTCTTGGCGATCTTGAACCGTGCCAGAACGCCATTCCTGGGACTTTCGAATCAACGCTACTGTTGCGCCCAGGCAACCCTGAACCGTTCCAAAATACCGTTTCTGGTACGTCATCCATGAGAATCAGCGAAACTATTGCACATGCTAAAATCGAATGTGCCCAGCGATACGGCGAGAGCCACATTTTGAAATGCAATCCCCCTCAATCCGTAAGGCTCTTGCGAATTGTTGAAACAAATGCGCGGGGCGCTAAGGCGATAGCCATATTTTGAAAACGACCCGCCCTCATTCCGCGAAATGCTTTTGTTAAACGAGTGTGCGCGGCGCTGAGGTGAGAGCCACATTTTGAAGACGACCCGCCCTCAATGTGTGAAGCTCTTGCAGATTGTTTGAGCGAATGTGCCCAGCGCTCAGCGAGGGCCATATTTTGAAAACGATCCGCCCTCAGTCCGTGTAGCTCTCGCGACCTTGTAATCCGAATGTACGCGGCGTTGAGGCGAGAGCCACATTTTGAAAACTACCCGCCCTCGATCTGTGAAACTAGTAAACTCTGTTGAAACGAATGTGCGCAGCGCTAAGGAGAGATCCGCATTGTGAAAACGGCCCGCCCTCAATCCGTGAAGCTCGTTGAATTGGTTTAAGCGATGTGTTCGGCGCTAAGGCGAGAGCCACATTTTGAACACTACCCGCCCACCATTAGTAAAGTTGTTGCCAATGGTTTAACATTAGGGTCATCTCAGGGTGCGAAAGGGAGGAGTTGGTTGTAAGGAAAAGTGATGGAGAAGGAGGAGAAGGAGGAAGGGAGGAGGAGGAGAGGTGGAGAAGGGGGAGGAGAAAGAGGGGGAGGGGATGATGGTGATGATGATCATGATGATGATGATGCTGCTGATGATGATGATGCTGCTGCTGATGATGATGATGACGACGACCATGATGATGACTATGAGGATGAGGATGAGGATGAGGATGAGGATGCTGATGAGGATGATGATGAGGATGAGGATGAGGATGCTGATGAGGATGAGGATGAGGATGAGGATGAGGATGAGGATGCCGATGAGGATGAGGATGAGGATGAGGATGCTGATGAGGATGAGGATGAGGATGAGGATGAGGGCGAGGAGGAGGAGGAGGAGGACAAGAAGGAGGAGGAGGAGGAGGAGGATCAGGACCCTCGCCCTCTTGGGGACCTCACCCAGGGTCACCCGCCGCGCCAGATGCCGGCCGCGGGCAGGCACGGTCGGAAGGGCAACCCTCGGGGAGCCCGAGCGCTGGCACGAGGACGAGCACGAGGCGAAGGGGCATCAGGCATGAGCTTCCTCCTCCTCCTCCTCCTCCTTCCATTCCTCCTCCTCATCCTCCCCTTTCTCCTCCTCCTCCTCCTCTTTCCCTTTCTCCTCCTCCTCCTCGCCTCCTCCTCCCCTCCGCGCCCTCCTCCTCCTTCTCCTCCTCCTCCTCCTCCTCCTCCTCCTCCACCTCCCAGTCCTCCTCATCCTCCCGTCCCCTCCTCCTCCTCCTCCTCCTCCTCCTCCTCCTCCTCCTCATCCTTCTCTTTCTCCTCCTCCTCCTCCTCCTCCTTGTTTTTCTTCTTACCCCCCTCCCCCGCCCCCTCCGCCTCCTCATCCTCCTTCCACTCCCCCAAGGCCATTCCGCAGACATGCTGGCGCCGTGACAAAAATCAGGATGGGATGTTTTTCTCCGTTTTCGGCTTCTGGGGCTCTCGCTGGGCCCTGGGACCTTCAAACAATTATTCGGGATGAAAAAATGGCCCCGGGGAAAGGACCGGGAACAACCATCGGGACATCGCATATCGGGGTCTGGGTGCAGTGCGTGCTGTAGGGGCTGGGGTCGGTGAAGTGGGAGGCTGCTTGCCAGACGATTGAAACATCGCACTTGCTCTGCGTCCGAAACGGTGTCCGTCCAGGGAGGAGCTCTGCCCGACGCGCTTCTCACCCCCCCCTCACTGCCCTTCCAGGTCCCCGAAGCTTCTAGTGATCTGGACGAACTTCCCCCTTCATCTTGGAAACGCTCTTTTTTGACGAAAATGGGTGGCACGTCTTGGGGCCACCCCTCTGAGCGGATCTCATTGTGGGCTTCCGAGGCCAAGGCATCCGCCTCACTTCCAGGCGCTGCTGGCTGCGACCGCGGGCGCCGTCGCTATCTGGCTGCTGGACTTCGCCATGACGGTCCTGCCGGTTCTGGACGGGATCGACGGGCAGAGCAGGCAGGGCCGGTGTGCCGAGAACGACAAGCAGCTGGACCGCAACTGCCGGATGATCGTCGGGTTCTTTTGCATCTTCCTCGGTGTCCGCGTTCTCTTGCACAGCCCTGGCGGCGCGCACCAGTGGGTGCGGCGAGGGGAGGGGGACGGGAGAGGGGGGGGGAACGTTGTCCTAAGCGGAGGTGGTGGCCTCTTTGAGGTCTTCAGGGGTTTCCCAGAGGGCTTTGTCAGAGGACGGGTGGCATCTAAGACGCCTCCCGCCGTCTCAGAAGGCCGCCCCCCTAGCATCACCCCCCCGTGCGCGCCACCAAACAGCGATCACTGTTGTGGGCACATCAGGGAGCAGGCGGAGTTGGGGCTCATGGGGCCGCTCCGCCTCTACGTGTTCCAGCTGGCGGTCCACGGCCCGCTTTACATCTTCTGCGTGACCTCGGCGCTGTTCGTGGCGCAGCTCATGTCCACGAGCCAGTGCGAGGGATACAACCCCGAGCTGTACAGAGTCTGCAGGAATCGACGACACACATCGGCGTCGAACTATCCCAACCCTACCCTCATCCATCCACGGTTCTGGTAACTCGATGGGCGGCGGGGGCAGGGTTCGGAACTCGTCGAACACGTGGCGAAATCCGAACCCTACCCGCTGCCTCCCATCGATTCAGGAGAGTCGATAGTTGGTGGGCGTAGGGTCCGGATGTCGCCACCTAACGCAAGGCACGTTGAGCCATGTCTTTTCGCAGGCCCGCGTGGGGTTCCTTGGGTCGACGCGGCGCGGGGCCATGCTCCCAGCCGCCGCCCAGCGCGGGGAGTGCGTCGGGGAAGAGTGTCGGGAGGGGGGGCCAGGGCGGATCCCATGTATCCGCTCGTACTTGCATGGTGTTTGTGTGTTTGCAGGCGCAGCCCAGAATTCGTTTCTCGTGGCGGGGCACCGGAGGACTGACTGACTGACTTGACTCGCCAGCGTGGTTTAAATGCACTTTATCCGCGGGGGGACGGCTATGTTGCGCTGTTAGGTGTGTGGGTGAGGTCAGGGTTTCAGTTTTAGGCGGGTAATTTGGTGTTGACGTCGGTTGTAGTTTTAGGCGGGTGGGCGAGGATGTTCGGACGGCAGTTCGAGGCAGGTGGGTGAGGACATGATGCCTGCATGTTTCGAGGGAAAGGTGAGGGTATGCGGGTGGCAGTTTAAGGTGTTTGGTTAATGATATTTCGGGTGCAGTTTTAGGCGAGTGGGTGAGGGTACGGCGGTGGCAGGTTTTTGCGGGTGTGTGAGGATGGTGCGGGTAGTGCGGATGCGAATGCCGAATTGTGAGGTGTCCAGATAAAGATTGGGGTTGTCAGTTTTTGTTGACGGGTGGATGAGGACAAGTCGGAGGCAGTCCTAGGCGGGGTCAGAATACTTTAGTGACAGTTTTAGGCGAGTGTGTGATGATATTCTCTTGCACTGGGTGTCTAGAGCTCCGACAACTTTATTTCGGCACGGCACCCCCTCCATCACCCACACATTCCAACAGACAGCGCGCCCCTCCGCCCCGACCCTTTTATTTCGGCACGGCACACCCCTCCGCCCCGACCCCTTTATTTCGGCACGGCGCACCCCCTTCCACACCCCCTCCACATCCCCCCCATCCACCAGCCAGCGCGCCCCTCTGGCCCGACGCCTTTATTTCTGCACGGCACACCCCTCCGCCCCGACCCCTTTTTATTTCGGCACGGCACACCCCCACCGCATCCCACCCACCCACCAGCCAGCGCGAACCTGCGCCCCGACCCCCTCAATTTCGGCACGGCGCACCCCTCCACCCCGACACCTTTATTTCGGCACGGCACACCCCCTCCCGCATCCCCCAACCCACCAGCCAGCGCGAACTTGCGCCCCGACCCATTTGATTTCGGCACGGCACACCCTCCGTCCCGACCAGTTGATTCCAGCACGGCACACTCCCTCCGCATCCCCCCACCCACCAGCCAGCGCCCCCCTCCGCCCCGACACCTTCTATTTCGGCACCCCCCCCCGCATCCCCCCCCCCCCACTCCCCTCCGCCCCGACCCTTTATTTCGGCACGGCACACCGCCTCCGCATCCCCCCACCCACCAGCCAGCGCGCCCCTCCGCCCCGACTTTATTTCGGCACGGCACACCCCTCCGCCCGATTTATTTCGGCACGGCACACCGCCTCCGCATCCCCCCACCCACCAGCCAGCGCGCCCCTCCGCCCCGACCTTTATTTCCGGCGCACCCCTCCGCCCCGACCCCTTTATTTCGGCACGGCACACCCCCTCCGCATCACCCCCACCCACCAGCCAGCGCGCCCCTCCGCCCCGACGCCTTTACTTCAGCACGGCACACCCTTCCGCCCCGACCTGGTTATTTCGGCACGCCCCGCATCCCCTTTTTATTTCGGCACGGCACACACCCCCGCATCCCCCCACCCACCAGCCAGCGCGCCCCTCCGCCCCGACCCTGTATTTCGGCTCGCCCCCCTCCTTCCGCGCGCCCCCTCCGCCCCGACCCTTTTATTTCGGCACGGCGCCCAGCACACCCCTCCGCCCCGACCTGTTTATTGCGCCCCCCCCCCACGCGCCCTTCCGCCCCGACACTTTTTATTCCGGCACGACGCACCTCTCCGTCCCGACCCCTTTATTTCGGCACGGCACACCCCCCCTCCGCACCCCCCCACCCACCCCCAGCCAGCCGCCTTCCGCCCCGACGCCCTTTTTCGGCACGGCACACCCCTCCGCCTCGACCCCTTTATTTTGGCACGGCACACCCCCTCCCACCAGCCAGCGCGCCCCTCCTCCCCGACCCCTGTATTTCGGCACGGCGCACCCTCCGCCCCGACCCCTTTATTTCGGCACGGCACACCGCCTCCGCATCCCCCCGCCCACCAGCCAGCGCGCCCCTCCGCCCGACCCCTTTTTTCTGCACGCCACCCCTTCCGCCCCGACCCCTTTATTTCGGCACGGCACACCCCCTCCGCATCACCCCCACCCACCAGCCAGCGCGCCCCTCCGCCCCGACCCTTTTTATTTCGGCACGGCCCCCACTCCCTCCCCGCGCGCCCCGCGCGCCCCGACCCTTTTATGTCGGCACGGCACACCCCCTCCGCATCCCCACCCACCAGCCAGCGCGCCCCTCTGCCCCGACCCCTTTATTATGCCACCCCCGCACATACCCACCCACTCACAAGCCAGCGCGCCCCTCCGCCCCGACCCCTTTATTTCGGCACGGCACACCCCTCCGACCAGACTCCTTTATTTTGGCCCGGCACCGGCACCGCCGCCCCCTCCGCGCGCGCCCCCTCCGCATCCCCCCCACCCTTCAGCCAGCGCGCCGCTCTGCCCCGACCCCTTTGTTTTGGCGCGGCACCGCCCCGTCCGCCCTGACCCATTCATCTCGGCACGGCACCACCCCACCACCCCGAGCGCCCCCTCCGCTTCACCCCATCCACTTGCCAGCGCGCCCCTCCGCCCCGACACCCCCATCCCGAGCGCCCCCTCCATCACCCCATTCACCAGCCAGCGCGCCCCCTCCGCTTCCTCCCTCTTTTTTTTGTGCAAGAGCCATGGCGCGCGTGCCACTTGTTTCGGTTGCAGTTTTAGGCGGGTGGGTGGGGCTAGTTGGGTGCCAGTCTGGCGAATCTGGGTGCCAGTATCGCGGATCTGGGTGCCAGTGTGGCGGGTGGTTGAGCACATCTTTGTAGTAATTTGCATCCGGCGGGTGAGGGTACCTGAGTGGCGTTTTTGGGCGCGCGGGCGAGGAGACGTCGCTGGCTGTTTCTGGCACTGTGGGCATCTGCTCGATTTTCGCCCAGTGGCCGCCCGTCGCTGCTCCGGTTGCCGTGCGCGGGCTGGGTCTGCAATGTTACCTCGCGGGGGCCACCCGTCGCCGCCTCGTCGCCCACCGATGCGTTGGCCAGGTGTTCGTCTGGTGACCGCCCGTCGCCGTCTATTGATTTCTACGATTATCTACAACATCATCTTTCTCGTGCGTCTACTATTACTACTGCGAAGACGGCGGCTACTACGATTACTAATGCAATTACGACTGTTACTACTATTAGAATTATGTATACTACTATTACTATTGTTGCTACTCTTATTACTACGGCTACTACTACGGCTACGACTATTTCTACTACGTTTTATTTCCACCACTAACTCTATTACTATTACCACTACTGCTGCTACTACTACTACTAAGAGTTCGACTGATCGTACCACGATTCGTATTACGACGACAAGAACATCAACTACTGCTGCTTCTAGTACTACCATTACAATAATCACGATAACTATTACAACTACTATTACTACCACCGCCTCGATGGCTACCACTACTACTACGAGGATTTCTGCTACGACGGCTTCTACTAGTAGTACTACTACTACGACTACGACAGCAGCAACAAGTATTACTACTAACACAACTACTATCACAATGGTTACTACGACTAATATGACTACTACTATTACTACTACTTCTACTACTACTACTACTACTACTACTACTACAACTACTACGATTACAGCTACGATTGCTGTTTTATTTCCACCACTAACTCTATTACTATTACCACTACTGTTGCTACTACTACTACTAAGAGTTCGACTGATCGTACCACGATTCGTATTACGACGACAAGAACATCAACTACTGCTGCTTCTAGTACTACCACTACAATAATCACGATAATTATTACAACTACTATTACTACCACCGCCTCGACGGCTACCACTACTACTACGAGGATTTCTGCTACGACGGCTTCTACTAGTAGTACTACTACTACGACTACGGCAGCAGCAACAAGTATTATTACTAACACAACTACTATCACAATTGTTACTACGACTAATCTGACGACTACTACTACTACTACTACTACTACTACGATTACTACTACTCCTACTACTACGCCTTTTTTCAACAGTTAACCCCACGGTTATTACTAACACTACTACGACTACTACTACTACTACTACTACTACTACTACTACTACTTGTACTACTACTACTACTACTACTACTACTACTACTACTACTACTGCTGCTACTACTACTGGTACTACCACCACCACGACTACTACGACGACGGATGCCATTTGTATTAATTTATTGTACGGTTACAACCACTACTATTATTACTACCGCTACTACTTGGACGTTTTGCACCACTACTTTTCTCACTACGGGTACGATTACTGATATTACACTTGCTACCGCTACGACTACTCCGAGTACGACTACGACTACGACTACGACTACTGCTACTACTACTACTACTACTACTACTACTAGTACTGCTACTACTACTACTACTACCACTACTACTACTACTACTACTACTATCAGTAGTACCACTGTGTCTAGTTTTATTGCTTCTGGTACTGCCACTGCTACTGCAACTCCGGCTACGATTTTTGTTGTTTTTCTACCACTTAGACTGCCAATACTACTAGTACGACTGCTTGTACTACTTCGTCTACTACTCCCACACTTAAC